GTTTGTCCCATATTTTAAATAAAACAAATGGTAATAACTCATTTTCTCTGAAGCCTCGAGAGTTGTTGACCCCGGCCGTGCAGTACCTCGCACAAGATAACGAGTGCTAACCGTCGACGATTGACCGGCAATTTTACCTCCGTGCAGTTTACATGATTACAGGAATTCGTTGATCTCTCTGTGTTATTAGGTGATTCTATATGTCTCTTAGGAGCTGCTGCCTTGGGCAACTCCTTCACTTCATCGATGGGAGAGGTATAAGTAATTGGAGCCGTTAATGCATTTTGGCGTTTTTGCTTCCGATTTTTCTTGGTTGGAATTGGATGTAGTGTAGTACTTGCCTCGCTTTGCTTATTTCTATTTGAATCAGTTAATATCGGCTGGCTGGCAGTTCCAGCTACGAATAGTTTATCTTCTATGATCTTTAATCGATTATTTAATACTTCAAATGAGTTGTTTAGAAGCCTCGACATATTATCAGTTAGAGCGAATACTGCACGTTTAATTTCTCCAGAGACAATTTCCTCAATCATTACTCGCAATTCGGAACCCGAAAGAGATGGCAAAGTCAGTAGTTCTCGATGACGTCGCTGGTTAAAAACTACGTTATCAGTAGAAGCGCTACTTGGGTAGGACTTATTTGTATTGTCAAGGTTATCGTGGTTCTTACATATTGCACATATCCACGAATTACTCTCGCTAGTACCCTCCGGACTGGCCAGTGCATTGTTAACACATCTAATGTGATACTGTCGTTGGCAAACAGTACATTTTAATGATTGGTTTAGACCAACTATTATATGGTTACACTCATAACAATTCATATTTCCTTAATTAATTTTTGTAGTAATATCAACAAAAATTGACTGATCCTTGTTATAAGTCACTTGCACTTGATTTGTACACGCACTTTTAGTTGTTTTAGTCAAAACGAAAAGTCACCGAAATCGAAGTGAAGATAACACAAATTAAAACGTGATATTTTTCTATTTTTACACTAATAATGAGGCAGATACGTTTGCCTATGGTATATCTTCTCCTGGTTCATTTCAATATTTACTTTTTATTGTGTATTCTCACTTATTTCTATTTTTAATTGGTTATTTTGCGAGAACTCGATATTCAACTTGCGCCTACCCGCAATAAAAAACATATTACAAGATATAAAAAAAAACTCATAGTAGGTACATATTAATTTACCTTCATAGCAATAGCCAATAAATATTATATTTTAAAGTTAATTGCATAAATGCAATAACCAGCATCATAAACAATGTGCGACCCTATATATTTATTACAATTGAATGGAATTTGAATAATATGTAGTAAAAATAATCATTTTAATAGGTATGCATTTCGGTGTTTTTCCTACTGTAGGAACGTTATATTATTCGTACATTTAGAAGAAAGAAACTTAGTCGTAGACCTGTTTTTCTTTTTTGAATGGAATCTCGCTGTTGGCCTTAAGGGCGTTTACAGGTCAGCTCGGGCTGTTTCGGCGAGCGTAGCTCGGCCTGAATGGGCGATTTTCCCGCGACAAGCGTAAGGGCGTCTCCTGTGAGACTCGAACCTCGGCTTGGGCCGTCGCGGGTCAATCGCCTGAAGTGCAGGACGGAAGCTCATAATTTCATCACTGGAGTGAGCGAAGTACGCAGTAAAGGTCCTCGCCATCCCCGGTGATAGCGGTACTTTATCCTAATCTGGTTTTGGCCGTAGACCTGTTACAAAAGGTGTAGAGCCAAGATCCGCTGAGAGAAAATTTCATCTAAATAAAGATAATGAAAATAAAGTAACTTCCAACCCCGACGTTTTTGTATGACGTGTTTGGCCGATGTTTGAATATTCACTTTGCCCAGACTCACGCCAAACTTTAGTGAGTTCTTGGTCAGTGGAATCTTAGGGTTTACATTTATAGTTCTCCTAGGCTAAGAATTAACTGAGATGGCAAATCGTTTTAAACTAATTGAAATTTGACCTTTGAATTTTCTGTTAACTATTCCTTTTTAAAATATTTAAGGCAATAGAAAAAATTTATGATCCTTGATTGTGTACACTATAATTAGTGTCATAATTTTTAATTATTTCTGTCTTGAACTATTTATGATGCGCGCTATAATAAATGAGTAAACACGGTTTATAAATTTAGTCTGAGCGTTTAACATAAAACTTACCAAAATAATTTTGTGTCCATAAAGGTCCTTGTCCTCTAACACAAAATTGTTTCTTCAACTATACATTTGTGCAAAACAGTAACTACATATGACGTGAATAGAACGTATTAAAAAATATACATGCGTTCATGACAAAGCGAACTAACCAAATGTTTGTTCAAGGTGGACGTTTTCAATTATATGTTACTTTCTTTTAAGATAATAAACTTCAATTATCAACGAAGGTAAATAGGTAACAATACCTCTATCGGCATTATCATAAAGTCGCACGTGTGCTACATATAGCTAGCTAGCAAGCTAAAGAGTTTATTTGTTTGACCGCGCTCATCTCAGAAACTATTTGAATTCAATTACGTATATTTTTGTGTTCGATAGTCCATTTATCGAGGTAAGCTAATGAAAGCGGATTGTAGTTATTTATGACGAAAATATTGTTCATCAAAAAGTTTAAAAGAATGCGTCTATCTGTTTAAGATTTAAGAATAACTTAATTTCTCATAAGAATTGCATACATAATTTACTTACTGAGAAACAATATGTAAAATATATAGTATATCCACTTTTTACCCTTGTTATGATAATCATTTTTTTTAAATAAGTTTTATATCTTTATATCGATCGACACTGGTATTAGCAAACACGTAGTAAAACAAATTGGCCATTATTTTTATTCATACCAAAAAATGTAATAACAAAAATACAGCATTGTCTTTTACTTGGGCCCTTCGACAATTAATATCATTTAAAATGTTAAATTAATAACTTATACTTAAACATCAATAATTTTGTCTAGTATGAGCACAGGATTTTTACGGCTCGTAAATTTTGCTTGTACGTAATTACAACATTTAGTGGGTAATACTTTTTGAAATAGTGGTGTATGCCACACTATATACGGTATGTGGGTGTTCTTTCACATATATACGAGTGTAACTTTTACAATAGGGGCCTCATAGCCTAGCGGTCTTATTAAGTGGCAGCTAGGTGAGGGGTACCGGGTTCGATTCCCGGTTCGAGGGCAAGTTTTAATTTAATTTAAAAATTTGTTCTCGGCCTTTGGGAGGGTTGTGCGGTACCGGGAGAGTGCCTAAAACCGTACATGGAGGTCGAATTTCTAAGACAAAAAGCACGAATTATAAAAATCTTATATTTGACGCTGGCTAATGCACAAACCGTGCCAGAGCCATTAAAAAAAAAACTTTTACAATACTATCAAACCGGTGATTTGGTTGTAGTCGCCGCAGCCTAGCCGCCCCCATTTATTTTGGTGTTTACGCCTCATACCAATGCGGGCTGGGCTTAGTAGCCGATGTCAAAGAATCGTTTGTTGCTAATTAAGTGAATGTTTATGACGAAATGATGAAAGAAAATGTTTCTGTGTCAAAAAACTTAAATTTCCTGTGAATGTTGAATTATATATAATATATTTTTTTTTGTTTTAAACATAAAAAAATAGAGTACATACATCTATTTTCTTTAACTCTTATAGCTGTCTATGTTGCATTCATTGTCGAACAATTGACGTACATTTGAAAAAATCACATACAAAAAATAAAGCTTAATAAGTAGGTAAGTATATGTTTATGACAAAATATTCATTGATATTATATTTATACTTAAAATACTACATATTAACTAGCAAAATATTGTTTTACAAAATTTCTAGATTATGTAGCTTCGCTACTAGACTTATAAAGCAAAAGGTTATAATTACCTACTGTGTCCAAAAATAGTAACTCTACGTTCCAAGTTCAGACGGAAGTAATAATTTTTATTTGAAAGACTTAAAAGTGTTTCTGCTGTGATGAACAATTTTATATTTGTACGTAGACTATTTGTATGCTTTCAAGCGTCGATATTATATTAGTTTAAGGTAATTTATAAGTGGATTAAGTCGTTTCTTGTACCTAATGCAATTAAATAAATTTTAGAAGTTTTAATATTTAAAACTTTATTTCATCCAAATTCCTCTGCCGGTTTTTGCATGAAATTCTCATTCTCATCTCTCTCTCTCATTGCAGTAAAAGAGAGATATTGCGCTTGATTTTTTTTGCAATCCTGTCGACATTAACTTGATGTTTTATTTTTTAACAAATCTGGGGATAGATTATTAAGGAAAATTTTATCAATGAGCTTAGCTAAGAAAATTGCTGTTAAGAATTACATAAATCAGTGGCGCTACAACCTTTTTAGGTCTGGGCCTCAGATTTCTGAGTCTGTTATCATGACCATTTGTCGATCTAATAGGCAAGTAGGTGATCTGCCTTCTGTGCCTGACACACGCCGTCGACTTTTCGGGTATAAGGCAAATCGTTTTCCTTCACCGTTCGAGCGAATGTTAAATGCGCACATTGAAAGAAAGTCTATCGGTGCACAGTCGAACCTACGACCTTAGGGATGAGAGTCGCACGCCGAAGGCCAACACTGCTCACCGTTTAACAAGAAATAAATAAAATCTCTTATTTTAATATTTTATTGAACAACCATACACTTTAATAAAATCAAAGGTGTGAAGTACATAACACATCTCATAGCATACATTAACATTACTCTTATCTTAAAGACATTTATATTTTATAACTAGAAATATAAATTATGTATTACAGAATATATTTCAATAAATTAATCACCATAATATACACAAAAGCTCTTAGTTATAAATGTTGTGGGGTGTATAGAATAGCATCGAAAAATTGGTCACCTCATAGGCATAGACTATTGTGTAGATATATACAAAATATATGGATAGAGATAGCACATTAATGATTAATTTTTGTATTTATATTTTTCATTTGGGTTTTCACTGCTAGGCCCACTTTGGGCCTGATCTCAGTCAGCTGACCACTGAAAAAAAGGAGTATATGAGTTATTATGCTTAGGTTCATTTAAAGTAGAAACATGAATGGGTATCCTAGGAAATACTTCATGGGCCACCTAGGAACAAAGAATTCTTCTAGGGTTGCAAATAAAAAATTCTTTTATTTCACTCGATATCTCGTGATATTTTATGAATAGAAAATTTTATAGACATTATAGATGAAATTGCGTCCTGGTTTTAACCAATGGGTGGTAAGGTTTCATGTATTTCAACCATATTTACAAAACCTACACTTTCAAGTGAGAACTGCATTTCCTACCACTGGAATAGAATAATTATTCAAATTCAAAATCATTTATTCATATAGGTAACACAATTGAAACTTATGAACGTCACTAAAGAAATACATATTAAATGCTTCTAATTTAACATATACTGCCAGTTTCTCAAATCAAAGGCGTAGAACGTACTAGAGGAACTGGCAATAAACTCTCCGCCACTCTTTTTGATTGCTAAGTTTTTTGTTTTACAAAATTTTTTTAGAAAACAGCAACCATTTACTAAGTTCCACATGACATCTTTCAGTAATTAACTATAATAATAAAAAAATATATATAAACGAGAAAAAAAATAAAAAAGAAAGATTTGTCAGCAGTAGGCATGGTGAAATAGGAGCATGCACTTACATTCTCGTGGGAACAACACGCAAATACATACAAGTCGAAATAACTAACATCGCCGCATACACATTCAAGTCCGACCAGTCAGCACAAGTAGCACCCGTTCACGAGTATGACGCATGGCTACCCATCGGCCTGAGGGGCCTTTTAAATATTAATTTATACTATAGTAGGCCTTAGCAAGTAGCTTTACTTTAAAGTAAGATTTGAATTGTTTTATTGACAACACTTGTATCTCACTAGAGATTTTGTTGAAAAAAACGTATACGTTGCCTTGGAAAGAAATACTTGTTTTATGCACCCTTGTGGTTGGTGCACTAATTTTGTCGTTATTACGAGTACTATAATTATGGATGCTACTATTATTTTTAAAGATATCTGTATTTTTCCGCACATATAAAATATTCTCATAAATGTATTGACTTGCCAAAGTCAAAATATGTAATTCTTTAAACTTCCTTCGGACCGACTCCCGTGGGGATAATCCGCAGATCGCTCTTATAGCCCGCTTTTGCACTACAAATATCAATTAAATGTCAGTTGCATTACCCCTCAAAATAACACTATATGACATAATACTATGAAAATAAGAGAAATAAACGAGCTTTGCTGTATTTTCGTCAGTAAGATCGCGTATCTTTTTCACTGCGAACGCTGCAGAACATAACCTATTCGAAAGACCTTCTATATATGGACCTCACTGGAGTTTACTATCTAAAGTAATTCCCAAGAATCTCCAATGGCATCATGAGAATTTTCCCAAGCATTTTAAATCCCAGAAAGTAATTTAATACCAGCATCGGCTGTGGAGCGACCTTTTGTAAAATCATACTGCTGCATGCAGCTTAAGTTTATAATTATTGAAGTGTATCAATTTCAAAAATTTTACTCAATGCATGCCTTCACAGATTCCAAACCTAACTATGACTTAATAATCCAATAGTCAAAATACTTATAGCTCAGTAGCGACTCTGAATCTTACATGTAGTGAGTAGGTTTAGTAAACATGTGGTTTTAAGTGACTTATCAATAATGCTTGTACTTAACATATGATGACATTGAAAGGAATTCAAACATTTTGTGTCTCGTATACAAATTTTATCTTCATTGGAAGTCTTATAATAGTGATTACTACAATTGTTATTCATGAATAGAAAGTATTTTCATAAATGTATTGAATTTTTCTCTTAGATTTACCTTTAAAGTAGCTCCACCCTGCTTCTGTAACTCTTGTTCCCTTTGCTCCATCTCTTCAGATCGTTGTTGCATTCGTTTAACTCTACTCGGATCTTTTACACCCCTGGCCTCTTCTTGAACACGACGACGTTCAGCTGCTTCTACTTGTTGTCGACGTCGTGTTTCCTATTAGTATATGTGTATAAATACAAACAAATAATATATAGTAGAAGTTCAACAGCTGTCAAAATGAAGGGACTGGGTTTTCGGACTTAAACATAGGAATTAAAAAAAATCTTAAACAACCTTTTCACATCTTATTACTCTGTACAACTTATTTGCAGCCAATAAATTCAAAAGCGACAGCTCTTGTTTACTTATCTTCAAATACAGTTAATAAAAAGAAAATATTAAAGTGGTGAATAGTTTGTTTTCTGGGATAGCCAAACATGCTTCATACTTTATCAAGTTGTGCCATTAAAATAATAAGGTATATATAGGAAAATATTATTTAAGTGTCATAACATAGCATTAGGATAAAAAATTAAAAAAAAAAGAAAACCATTTATTAATTTGCCATTTGAAGGTGCTTATACTTGATCTCGTAAATTTAATTATGTATTTTATTTTAAACTAGTTTTATGTTGGAGAAAAATTAGAAGGGATAGTTATTAACATAATACAATTTTAGTTTGGAATACACTCACTGTATCTGGAGTCAATACATCTGATGCTGAGGGTTTACAACAGGATGTAATTAGCCCCATATTGAGAAAAACAAGATAAATTTTCCACTTTTTAGAAATCTATACTGCAAACATTCGCACTGCATCGTTCATTTTATTTTTTATTTGTACCGAAATATTGATCTGACAATCAAATTTATAAACGTCAAGGTGTCAACAGAGTAGCCGTATTGACATGACGTCGAGTGTGAACTTATTTAAAAAAAACATAAACATAATTAATTAATTAGTTGTTATACTTTTCTCTTACAAACCTTAAGCAATTTCCATTCATCGTAGAGGGATATAACTAACAATATATTTATTTAAATAACTAAAGTATGCTTAAAATAATAAAAGTAATTACAATATTACAGTATTGTATTAGAAGTAATCTACTTTGTTAACTAACCATCATCCTTATAATATTGTTCATATTTGCCATTGTGTTTCTATTTGCACGATTTAAACTGCAACCCGTAATATGCTTGAATTTATTTGTCGCTAAGATGTTGTTGCAAAATCATCCGTAAAATGGTGGCAAAACTCAAAAGATCGATATTACAGTCAACAGAAGACTATTGCTACTATAAAAATGAAATTTAAAGCAACACAATAATTGATATGTAAAATAAAAATACTAAATAATTTTGATATTAAAATTATTCATAAATCATAATTATGAACACTTTTAATATTTTTGCATATTGGAAACCATATATTATTTTTGCTTTTTAATCTGTGATCGATTTACGGTTACCAGTTAACTGTTAAGCGACTATAGGAATTTGGAAGTTGGAACATCTCTAACGCAAAGTACTTTATTGGGGAGACTGTCGGAAAAATTCAAATTAATTGAAAATTAAGCTTACAAATATGCTATCTCGCGTGGCTTTGCGTTCAGGTATGATTTATACTACAGTATTAATTACAAAAACTTAACACATCAACAGAAAAATATTATTAACCTTGGTGCGCAGGTTTATGTAATCGTTTGACAAGACCCTACCTAGTGTTTTAGATTATTCTTATTTTGAAAGTTCTATTAGAAAACAAAGATGATATAAAGAAACTTTATTTGTAATTTAATAATTACATAGTACTATTACGTCCATGTATCGAATAATATTTCATATGGTAGTTAACCTTTATCAGCTGATAATGAGAATATACTCGGTACTTCCTATAAGAGTATTTTCTTAACTGCCTTAGACACACTTTCAACTGAAACAAATTGTCCTTTTGTGTATTAAAACATTTATCTTTTACTTTCAGTAGTGGCTCGGCAGTCAGCCCCCACAGCCCTTGTAGCCCGCACTTCGTCCACTGATGCCTGTGGAGTACGAGATGAGAAGAACTTTCCTAGACCCGTGAGAGGTGAACCTGGCAAAGTTAGGCTTGGTTTCATCCCAGAAGAATGGTATGCATTCTATTCACTTTTTTCAAAAGCCAAAGTTGCTACAATATAAGCACGGAAATTTGAAATATATGGAAACCAAACTGTATTTATCATTAACATTTCACTAAAACTATACTATAAATTTCAGGTTTCAATTCTTCCATTCAAAAACAGGAGTGACAGGACCATACACATTCGGCGCTGGTCTGGTAACATACCTGTTCAGCAAAGAAATCTATGTAATGGAACATGAATACTATACTGGTCTTTCTATTTTTGTTATGGTCTACTATGCTACCACTAAGTTTGGCCCTAAAGTTGCATCATGGCTGGACAAGGAAGTTGATGTAAGTGTTAATAATTATATTCTGTTACTTTATCCAAATCTAATAAAATTTAGTTTTGATAGCAAATCTTTTAAAAGAAAATGGTTAAAGATAAAACAAAAAAACAAATTTATTACTAAAAAACTACTTTTTAAATGCATTATAGTATAATATTAGCTTACTAATCAGTTTTCTTTTAAACCCATGATAATTTATGTTTTTAGCAAATAGAAACTGACCTCAACCAAGGAAGAGTAGACACCCTAAAATCACTGGAAGAGGGTATTGCAACAGAAAAGGATGCTCAATGGCGTGCCCAAGGCCAGGAACTGCTTATTCAGGCTAAGAAAGAAAATGTACTTCTACAGTTAGAAGCTGTTTACCGTGAACGCCTTATGAATACCTACCAGGAGGTAATAAGAGATTTACTATAGAAATATGCTTTAATAATGCTTTCTTATTATATAAACATATTTCTGGTTTGTCTTTCAATAAGTAGTGCATAGGTGGCCGTTTATGAATTACGTAAGGACTATAGGGGGGAGGCCCCCCCCCTCCTTTTTTACTTTTATTTTCTTATTTGGTGATTACGTCAACAGTATTTTTTTTTTGTCTATGCTTGAAAGCTAATTGCATTTTCGAGGATTCCTACAAAAAGTAATATGTTTATGTACTATTATTGTTGAGAGCTTTGCTTACTTTTGCTGACTAAATTGCAGTAAATCTGCTTATGTAATACTTAAACAGCCTCAATAATTAATCTTTCAGAAACTTTATTGGTCCCTTGTAAGCTATCAAGCTTATCACGGTTGCACGAAATCTTGCTAGAAAATTGTCAAAACACCCATGTTTTTTAAATTATTTTACTATCTCGTTTCTTATTTACAACACAGAATTTAAGAAAACTTATAGCAAGGAGTGTAATTGATAGAATATCATTATAAATGAAATCTTTAATAATGTAAACAGGTCAAGAAACGACTGGACTTCCAACTCGAGAAGGCAGCGCTTGAACGCCGCTTTGAACAGAAGCATCTTGTTGACTGGGTAATCACCAATGTCAGTAAGGCTATTACTCCTGATCAAGAGAAACAGAACTTGGACCGTTGCATTGCTGACCTAGCAGCTATGGCTCGCAAGTGAACATTCTAGATTTCACGAATTTTTAAATTATTCTGCCTCTGGAATCCATGTACATTCTACAACACCTAGAATTATTTATATATTATGTTAATAAACGCTGAATCGTGATAGTTTATTGTTTGTTGTTTTTCTACATCCTTAGTAGTTGTACGTGACAACATTACTCTTTACCATACATTTTTCAAAACAAAATTGTGCTACTTTCAGCAATAAGTAAACTAATATATACAATATACATACTATTATTGTAAATAAAAGACTTGTCTTTTCATGTTACTTTATTACTACAATTACATAATATTATATGCCCTTACAACAGTAAGACATTCTCGCCTTAGTTAAAGCTCTTTTATTTTTATATAAAAAATGACTGTTGATATTAAAATATCACAGCATTTTCATGAAATCCACTGCAAAATGTCATTTTTACACTAATGGAATACAGTATAACATAGACAACGTTTTAGCAGCCTTTAATTAAAAAAAATATTTGGCATGATTTAATTGATTTGTCTATGGTATATACTATTAAAATGCCCCACATAGTAGATGTTTCACAACATGATATAAAAGTACAGCATTTGGACATAAAAGCAAATGTAATTAGGAACAATATTTTAAAACTGAAAATGTTATTTAGTAAATTCCGTAAAGCATATAAATTACACAGTAAAAAATTTATTTGAAAACAAAACACTATCATTAATTTTGATTATGCTTCATTAATAAGATAAAAAAAATTAAGTTTTTTATTTAAACCATATTGAGAATTCAGTAGCGGCGTTTTGATACCTGGGTAAGACGAATATTATTGAACTAATAACATCAGCTTTTAAATGTTTTACAAGATAAACAGGTACTGGAACGGAAAAAATACTAAGCTAGCAAATAATGTGCGTACATTTGTAACGTTAAAATCGCCAAATATAGCTTTTATACTAAATATTGTAAACGTTTATCAAAATCTATGTACGTAAATTGACGCTTAGCAAAAAGAAACCTAAAATCAAATAATATAAAAATATATGATTTCCTATAAACACTAATCTAGATGTTAATATTGTTAATTATGTTTAGTACACTTTATTTCCAATGTTTTAATGCTGAATATATGCTATATGCACCAGAGAAAAGAGATTTTCAATTTTTCATTAGAACTGGTTTATATAGCCAAGACTGTTATCAGTGATGCATAATATGCTACATGAGGTCTGTCTATTTCGCAAACACAAAACATTGAAAACATAATTGTTTAATATACAATAGTTAATAAATACAAAACTTACACTAACGTCGTATTTACATTCTCGTGTTAACAATGTACAAAGTGTATAACTTTGGTGTAAAAACTATTATAACAATGAAATTGTAAATAATTTCAAATCCAGAAAACGCTCGTTTTACGAGAATGTGAAAACAACTAAAGGCCAAAATAGACATCTAAATATGTTGTTCAAAGAGCTTTTTAATGTCGCCTTCAAGTTTTTTCTTAATAATATATAATAAAATTCTATTTTAGATGTCTATTGTGAGCCAACCTATATAAATGTATAAAAATTAGTTTTTGGTTTCGAGACATAATAAAAACCATGACCTAAACATTAAGATACAATATCAATGTGATCTACATGTTACATATAGCACTGATTTTAAAGAAATTGAGGACACATATAATTAACTGTGACCCAGAATGATATTTTCTACAGCTAATTGTGCATTTTGACTTAAGTAGCAAAACATGTGCTTCCATAAAATAAGACCAACAATTCCATAAGAGAGATCTAGTGCCACAAATCTCTGGCGTGTAAATTATTTTGCTTGATTTAACATGTTTCAATAATCCTGATAGGGTTTTTTCCCAGCACGCTTATTACAAAACTTCCATAGTGAATCCGATCCCAATTTCAATATTAAGTGGAACATAAACCACAGATTAATAAGTCATCATTAGAGTACTTTGTTAGGAAGTGTCAGCCAAATTATTAATTCATAGGTCAACTTATGAAATTGGCATTGTTTTATCAATACAGCGGCAGAAACTAATATTGAAATACCTTTATGAATTAACTTACATAAAACTAATAACAGAGACTTGCAAGTGAAGAGGTATATAACTTATACTTAATGACAACAAATAACAAAAAAATATGTTTGTATCAAAGATATAACACAAAAAAAGTGATTCCTAAATCACAGAATTAGAACTAATTGCTTACTAGTTGGATCTTTACATAAATTAATAAATTAGAAGAAAGTCCTACATTTTTATTAATAAATCAAGTTTCAAAGTCAATTGAAGAGCAACAAATTTTAAGTTTTTAATAAAATAAGAATAGAATTAATCAAGCAAAGCAGCAAATGTGTAAAACAACATCTTTGCAGACATTTAACTTTGATATTGACTGTATCATAGCTGCAATCCTCACCCAATTTTGAGTTTATTACAAGATAGTGCATTTCTTCTTCTTGTTCCTATGCTCTGACTTAATGTGGATTCTCTCTGCTTCCTGGAATCTCCGAACAAGTCTCACAAGCTCATGGAAGGCCTGGTCTACATTCATACGAGCCTTGGCACTGCACTCAATGTATGGTATCTTGAGTTGACGGGACAGAGATTGTGCTTCATCTAATGTAACCTGCAATAATTTTATTACTTGTTAAATCTGTCACAATAAATGAAGAAAATCAATTAAACGAGGAGCATAGCAAAAGCATTTGAGGATATATTAATTTAATTCATACAATAAAATGGGTATAACCGGGATCTTAGTATGGCATGGAATAGCAGTGTAGGAAGCCTATTAGAAAGCACAACTTTAAAAAACAGAATATTTATGTATATGTGTATGAAATAATTAACTATATCTTACCATTCTCTGGCTTTCCAAATCAGCCTTATTTCCAACCATCAGCATAGGAAATTCATCCCGATCTTTTACACGTAAAATTTGTTTATGGAACTTAAAAAGTTCATCAAAACTGGCATGGTCAGCCACTGAGAAAACAAGTAGAAAGCCTTCGCCTGACCTCATATATTGTTCTCGCATTGCACTAAATTCTTCTTGCCCAGCAGTGTCAAGGACTATAAAGTAAATCGAGGAATTTCAAGATCAAGATCTACTTTATACCATGTATTATTAAATTTTAAGAGGATGTATAAATACATTTTAAAACAGAACAACAAAATTTGTATAAAATAAAATTATTTTGGTTTGACTATGAAAGGAAGAATAGAATATAAATTAATCTGCTTGTTAACAACTATAAGTTATCGACTTACTATCCAGTTTTGCAGGAATATCATCAATAACACATTGCTTTGTGTAGCTGTCCTCAATAGTAGGATCATAGTCAGTTACAAAATAGCTCTGAAATCAGGAAAAACTACCATATACAAACTGATAGAATACATTTATATTTTAAAATCGTTTTCTCTTGGTGTAACTTGACATGAGAACAAGAAAATCATATCTACTACATATAAAGTGTTTAATTACGCACACACGTTAATATGTAACCAACACTCGTTTTCCTTAAAAGACGTAATAATATTCGAAGAATTTCTCACATGTGCACTGATAATGAAAATTATGTAGAAATGTAGTCATGAATTTACACTAGTGGGCGTCGTCTTTACTGCTTTACCTTGACAAAAACACAGGTACCCATTATGCTATTTATATTGATGAATAAATGCTCTACACGATACAATACACACACACAATAATATCTTAAAGCATCAAATTCTTAAAATTTATTGCTATCTTTTTAGACAATAGCCAAAATTAATGTGAATACCAGGAATAAGGAAATAAGAATTCGTATCGTAGGTGGTGTAAAGATATATAAAAATACCTGTATAAATTGTATTGTAATAGCACTTTTTCCTACACCTCCACCGCCGACAACTACCAATTTATAGGTTTGGGCTTGATTTGGTCGATCACCTGGTCGCGACATTATTTTATCTAATTAAAATAAATTCGTTTTGTAAAAATTCTATGTAATCCGACAGAAACTGTTCTCACTTCTCAGTCAGTACTCAGTACTCAGTAGTCAGTACCTAATTCCTTTTTTTTTTTTTGGAGTTTATGGCCTGGTATCTAGACCTTTAGGCCAAACCTAATTCCTTTTAATTTTTCAATCATAGATTCAGATTTCAGCACAGACTAAGTAATTTGTCAATATGTAGTACAAATCGTATATAGATTAAAAACTATATATTAATACAATATCTAAAAATAGCTTATTAGGTTGCTCGAAATCAAATCCATAATTAATTTATACAGATGTATTGGATATGTGTATCGAAAATCGCACGACGGCAACGTGATATACAAATATTTTTCTATATATACTGATACACTCTCTAAGAGGCGACAAGAGGGGACGAGCGGTTTGTGTATAGCTTGTATAGAATTTTATCAATTAATAAAAAACATTATTAATGCCGACTTTTAGAAAACGCCTAAGAAAGATAAATTAAACTATATTTATACCGGCATGATATGATATTTTTTATATCTAGTATTTGTAATATAAACGCAAGGCATTAGAATATTGGTAGGCTCACAAATCAGTCATTCCAATCACGTTCATCTTGTCGTAGATGTAGCGAGCAACAAAATAAAGGGTAACAACGTTCAATTAGAAGTAGATTAATGATCTGAGAAATTATACTGCTAACTTGTTATAGAGAACTTACATAGCACATTTTTGCTTTTCTTGCTAATTAATTTAAAAATAAACTGTATAGATGGATGTGACTAGTTTCAATAAACATTTTGTGGACTGTGAACTGTACACATTTGTAACATAAAATTAAAAGTACGAATGATTTTTGAATAGATCCTGCGTTTTATCGTATGCAATTGTCCCTAGGGGGCCTGCTAATCACTATATTAGGTGTCTGTGCTGGGAAATATTCATCCGCACACGCTACATTCTTGCATCATTCATCATTGTCTTTCTAGAATCTAGTCTGTGTTTGACCAGTGATCAGTCAATTTTAGAGATATTAGACATTAGAACAACAGTTTTAACTTTTAACTGTTGACAGTTCTGTTCTGACTTCTGAGTTTAAAATAAACGAATGTATTGTGCTTAAGTTTTTAAGTATTCTCTTATTGGAAACATGTTTTCAACTAGCTCACAAAGAAAGTTTTGGACATTTAGTGACGAAAATGAATTAGCAAGCCATCGAGAAAAGCACAACTTAGAGTTTATTTCAAGACATGGACAGAATTTAGATGAACAACAACGTTACAATTATTTTTTATCTCCAGAAGAGGAAAGACTTTTATTAAAGCAGTATGAGCTGCATTTAAAAGAATTCTGTAAAAGATTCCAGCCTCCTATGCCTAAAGGAGTTATTGGTACAGCGTTTCATTACTTCAAACGTTTCTATCTTTACAATTCTTCTATGGACTATCATCCTAAAGAAATTCTCGCTACATGTGTGTATTTAGCATGCAAAGTAGAAGAATTTAATGTATCCATTGGACAATTTGTTGCTAATATTAAAGGTGACAGAGAAAAAGCTTCTGATATTATTTTAAACAATGAATTACTTCTAATGCAGCAGTTAAATTATCACTTGACTATCCACAACCCTTTCCGCCCTGTTGAGGGTTTCCTTATTGACATTAAGACAAGATGCTCTCTGGCAAACCCAGAGCGGTTACGTTCAGGAATTGATGAGTTTCTAGAAAAAGTCTTTCTCACTGATGCTTGTCTTTTGTATGCTCCTTCACAAATAGCATTAGCAGCTGTGTTGCATGCAGCCAGTAAAGAACAAGAGAACCTGGATAGTTATGTGACTGATATGTTGTTTAGAGATGCAGGACCCGATAAATTAGCAGTTTTAATAGAAGCTGTTAGAAAAATTAGATCAATGGTTAAAATGGTTGAGAGTCCTCCTCGTGAACGAGTAAGAGGCATAGAAAAGAAATTGGATAGATGTCGAAATCAGGAGAACAATCCTGATAGTGAGATATATAAACAGAGAATCCGTGAAGCTTTAGATGAGGATGATGTGCAGTACACTGGTACTAGTAGAATGTCATTAGATACAAGTGGAGTAACACAAGTGTTGTCTCCGTCAGCATCTTAAATTTATAGAAATATTTAACATGACTACTAAATGCTTGGAAAACTAGTTTTAATTTATTATCACTTTGACCTGGTTGTTGATGTTGTAAATGACCTTAAAGGAAACTTAATTTTTCACTCAAACAATTTTGTGTAGATAAAAAAAAAATTACAATTATGTTTTATAAATCCAGACGGTACAAAGCTCATCCAAACAATAATTGCATGGTTAAAGATATCATTTTATTATTATGTCACATTTAAATCTACATATTATATTCTAAATTTAAAGTTGACTAACCTAAACCTATTGTATATATGACTAATATATCTGAATTTGTCTACTTTTTAAAGCCCACTGACCAATAAAATTTGAGACTTGAATTCTGTTTTTTATAACAAAGGTTCTTTAAGAGATCCATTATAGGAACTTGTTTATCAGCTTCATGGCCAAGGTGAGATTGCCAAGTTTAGTCTTGTATTGTAATATTTGGTTTATGAAAGACAAAATCCATTAGGATATTCTGTGAATAAAGGATTACCTTTATTCACAGAATATCCAAATTTAAAGTATAATTATATCATTACTTCATAACAGACAATGTTATAGAATATAGAGGCTCATTTTTATACAAGTTAAAACTATTTCTTCAAAGCGTACCCACCAAGCCCGAAGCTGCTTAATTATGTCTTGATTACATTTTAAAGATTCAATCAGTTTCCCTAGGCAGCTGCGCCAGCTTTTTATGCTGTTGGCATTTACATCACACTCATATTTAATTACTATTCCCAATGAATAATCTCATTTTTTTAAATTCTGTTCTAAAAACCCGTAAAGTATGTAACAGTAGTATTAATTACTAAGTATTGTTTTTTATTGTATTGTTTATTTGTTCTGGCATGGATGCGTAACCTACTTGCAGGTTTTTGGCTTCGTCGATGTAAAAAGTAGCCTTTATTAAACGTGCAATATAACTCAGCCGTCCTCCGAATAGTTGATGTTTATATTATAAATAATAATAAACTCGTAAGTCGGTATCACCCTCGACTTACGTTAAATTCGTTCCGTAAATTTGCCCGTATCCCCATTGAAATTAATTGAAATACCATTATTCCGTTACAGCTTCCAAATCACCACCTCAGTTGTTTTTAAATAAGACAGTGTGTGTATTTACACGAAGAAACATGTATTCATAAATAACAAAAACGTATTCTATAAAACACAATAAGAGAAAACGTTAAGTGGTGACGGAAGCGCTTAATTTTCGTCATTGGAGTTACGTAACCTAACCTAACTTTAGTAAGTTCCATACCTAATAGGGGAAGATCGTTACCCTTCGTACGCGGGGCACATTCATACAGTCAAAATAAAACTTGAACGAAACAAAGTACAGTCTTGTTTTTGTATGTGTGCATGAGTCGAGGTACGAACTATAGTCTATACATCAACGAAGTTTCGCGAAATTCGCACCGATGAGAGTGAAGTTACAGGCATGGACGTGTTTTCGCGCTCGGTAAGTAATTTTTTGACCAATGTTTTTGTCTCTTGTTACCGTAGATTAAATAAGTTTTCGTGTAGAGTATTCTATTAGTAACTAGCAAAATATACTTAGATACGTCTCCAATACTTAATTTATGATGTTTTCCTATTAATATTAAAATAAGTTATATTTTGTTGTTATTCAGTAAGTGGGGTACTTTCGGACAGCACTAGATGGGGCACATTTACGAATTGTACAACTAAATTTGTATGAAAATATTTTGTCGACACGAACTGTCATTTTCATACAAATTAAGTTTTCGACTTGCTACATACAAATAATAATAAGGCATCTTGACTAAACCCTCTGGTAGGTAGGAAAGATTGTGTTAGTGTGCTAATTGCTAATATTTGCATTAACTTTGTCCAGTGTTGCTATCATTGCTATCGTCGATGTAAATATATATTAATACCTATTTTTATTATCTTTATTAAGGTTGATTTTGATGCCTGTGAACCAGATGCTTTGAATAATTTACCAATCCATCAAATAGTAGTTCCTTCGAAGTCATTTTTGACACCAGAAGCGTTTCGACTCTATCCGCATGTTGTAAGAAGTAATAAAACAAACAAAATGACGACGACGGCCAGGAAAACCACGAATTTATACTGCCACACCCGAAAATAAGAAGTGCTAATCCGCACCAAACATTAAAAAATGTGATTCTAAATTTAAGATACCTAACTAATTAAATTTTGTTTTTCTTAAGAAAAGCTATGTAATTTTTGTTCACTATAAGAAAAGTATTTTATTTTTGTTTAATAGAAGTTAAATCTTTATTAAGTGTTTAATTTCATTGCTAATAAATGAATTTTGATTTATATGTGTCGTTTTAATCGCACGTACGGAACTACTCCACAGCGTACGAAGGTACCCCCAACACTGTACGAAGGTGCCCCGTTGATGGGGCAGATTCGTACGTTTTCCAGATTTAGTTTAGATCATAATTATGGTTGAACCATCAGATGAAATCATTTGTCATTTTCTTATATGAATCTCAGATAGTTAGACTATAAATTTAAGCTTACAGATGATTGATTCATGGAAAAAGAAAAAAATAAAATGTGAAAACCGTACGAAGGGTCCCGACCTTCCCCTACCTATAAATATTTTAGGTATAATAATTATAAACGTAAACCAAATGTAAACAATCATCGTACACTTGAAGCCAATATTGAGTCCTTTAGTTTTTACCACACTTATAAATTGTATTTTAACATTCTCGTTTCCGATAATGTCCAAAACATAAGTGTAATTTAGATTTATGAAGCCTTAGATAAGCCAAGCTAGTGTTTTTTTGTTAGCGTCGCAACTCGTCTACCCCTAATTTTGTATTAGTTATAAACTCATAATTTAAACAATTAAAGTCAGTTGTTACCAAGCTTCCAACAAAGTGTTTTATTTGAAAACATCCATACAAAAAACCGCCACCGAACTTAATTCAGGTCTTCGCTTTTTTCGTCACGCTTTGCTCATTTTCACCTGCAGATCGTTTAAAAAAACTGTCCAAGAAGGTTTATTTCTTTCCCTTTCAAGATATTGCGGATATGAGTTAGGCAAGTTTCAAGACCAGTTGCAACTTTTTCGGGGTGATTTTTATCCACGAACGCCACAGCTTCTTCCATGCAGAGGTTAAGGTCCTCGATGTAGGACCCCAGCCCAGTCCCAGCCATGCCTGATTAATAAGTCTTAAGGATAAGACGATGTTAAAGTGGTCCTTCCAGAACTCTCGAAGGGTACCTAAGGTTCGTGTTCTCCATCCGAAAAATGTGCTTGGTGTACTTACTATGTTTTAAACTGAGAAATTGTACACCAAGGTAGGTAGGTAGAGGACCTTTATAAACTTGAACTGTCCGAGTAAATCATCTTCGAGATTTGGTACGTGAGCAGGGGCATTGTAGGACGAGAAGGGCTTGCATGGGAAAGTTTTTTTCCTGTAGTGATTTTGATTGATTGATTGTGATGTGTGATTTTAAATAACATAAGGGCCAAACACTAGATTTATCCACTCCTCAAAGAATTTCCTGGTAACCCACGCCTTCGGATTTGACCTCCACATAACTTGCAGTTTTTCTTTTAAAATCTAATGTGACAATCTTACGTTAAAGGCTCTGGCATTTTCCGAATGGTATACTAGCAGAGGCTTGATTTATTTTATATCCTATTATAATATACTATAATATTTTATAACTATTTATCTATACTATACTAAATTGGTTCGTCCGTAAGTAGGTGCTCATCTATATATTCATAAAGCCTTTTCGATTTGTATCTTGGATTTATAAAAAATAAAAAATGTTTAAGCTAACTTAGAACCACTGCTTTTTTTTATCACTGCATCAGTCTTCACTGTTGATTTAAACATTTTTAATGTTATTAGCTCTGCCCCTGAGGCGGCTCTCGTTTAAATTAATCTTACATACTATAAATGATATTAAAAACCACCAGAAAATAATCCCGCTGCTGTGTATGAACTTGAGGACGCACCATTAAGAGGGTAAGGAGATTCGTGACTTGGGTGTAACTATAAATTGCAAATAAACGTTAATATCTCAAGATAATAAAACAATCACCTTATCCGTATGAATGCTGAGATTTCTTAAACGAAATACAAATTGTTTCGACACGAAATCAAATTTGTAGAACGCTTCTGATTCATTCGCAACACACCGTAAGTATTTAAAGAGCATTCTTACGACATTTTACATACATTATAGTACAGGACTCTCTCCTCAGCGCCTCGCGGAAGCTAAAAATTCTCTTGATCTCCAGTAAAAATAATAACCTTTTACAGAATGTTAACATTTTCGTTCCTTATTAATTTCCAAGGTTCAAAGTCTGTAAAAACCAACCTGGTAGTTCAGGCCGCTGCCACTCAAATTCTTTGCGAATATAGTTTGATTTAGAATGAACGCAAATAGAGCTGTTGGCGACATCAAAGAATTATGTGTACTGTTAAAAATTTGTTATAATAAGATAACCTATCATAACAAATGAGTGTGTGTTGCATGTACGAAGATTAGGTATTTCGTGTATTGAAATTATTATTGTATGGGGTACGAGTTCTTATTAAATAAAATGTAATCATCTTTAAAATGCCATATGACCTAGTGAACTTCGTATCACTAACATACTTATGTTAAATTTATTAAATAGACCAAAAAGATTGAACCTCATAATACACCTATGAAATACGCATTTTTGAAGGCATCTACTATATAAATATATGACAACCAAATGAAAATTTTTGATTTCTAAAAAGATATCAAATATTTTTCAGCTAAGAACCGTTTTTATTAGAAAACAATTGTCGTTTTAGCATTTTTGTTTAATTAGAAGAAATTCCATAAATATTTCATAATTAGCCAAATCCGTCCCGCCATTCTGTACCTCCCAAAAATCTTTTTTCGCTGAGAAACTAACAGGTTATGGGCTAAGGTACACACAAAAGTAGGTAGGTATTATTTACTTAAATCCAAATTATTATATCAAATGTTTATTGATTAATAACAAAGTTACACTTATAAATGGTAAAAACATGATAAACTAAATATGTAATTTCCTTCATACAAATGCTTTTTCGTCTTGTGAAATTTAACGGGAGTTTCGGCCTTCAGGGTTTTTGACACATAAGCAGTCGCTCTGCTTCGTGCTGTAAAAAAATAAAAAATTAGGTTTTTCGACTTTTATACATTTTATTTATAAATAAAGTTGCTACCGGATTTTAATAAAGGCGGTGATGGTGACTGAAACAGAGCAAACTGAACATACTAAAAAAATTGAGCTTTGAGCTTTTATTTACTGACATATGATACGCCACCTATATCGTTAATTCTAAACATCAATAGAAATAAACCTTACCTGAATCATTCGGTAGATTTTAGCAACAGCCTCGTCGCTTCTGCAGGACATACCTAAAGATCGTTTTCCACCCCAACTTGATGTAAATGTAAGCTGTGCTTGTGTCAAACATAAGCACGCGGCGATGACAAGGAAGAAAAAAAGTTTGTACATTTTGTATTGTAATGGTTAACTAGATGAGATGATATGATGGTGCTACAGTAAATACGGTCATTTTATACACAAAGAAGCCATAGGTTTTTTAATTTTCTAAAGGAAATTAGTAGGGGAAAGTTAGAAAATAATTAGACGCTTTGTTGGTTTCAGCGGTTCTCAAACCTAATCACGACATCATTTTGCCATCTATGGAACTGTCACCATGTTTAAAAAATTAAAAAAATTCTGTTTTTTTATTGAAACAACAAAATGTAGTCGCGTTATGAAACTTTTTTAAACAAGATAATATAATAAAAAGTTAGCAATAACTAAATTAAATATTAAGAAATGTAGAAAATGAGGGTCTTTATTACATCTTACTAGAGGTCTGTTATCGCTTATACACATTATCATTTAAATTTATTTATCTCTTATTCCTTTTTTTCTTAACAAAACTTTTACATTCCCACGGACGGAAAGTTTTTCTAATAAACTAGATAATTACATAAATTTCATAGGTTTCTTATGGTTGTATAAAAACGGGAACGTAGACGAAAAATCATTCATTGAATAATTAACAATGGCATCTCTACGTCTTTTGAAACGAGCGGCTGTCATTCTACTGTTTGCTGCTGCAAATCTTTTTGCTGCTTCGAATGGGCAACTCACGTTTTCCAGCGGTTGGGGAAAGCGGTCTGGTAATGATGACGAGATCATAATAAACTTGGATGACCAGCTCCAATAGCTTCGGTAAGCCACTGTTTTAGTTCCTATTATATTTTATTGATATTGTGAAGTCACAGTTCTGTCTGCATTATTAGCGCAATCAAGTAATTTAGAATATTTCTAGATTATAAATATGGCAGCGTGATGTTTATGTTTTTAAAGCAAAACCACAGAACTGGTGTGGATAAATTTTGAAGTAAAAGACAGATTACATTACAAAGGCATAAAACCTGAAAATCTGTGTTTCCAAATATTTCATTAATCAGAGGTTTTTTGCCAGTATTGTCAAAAGTGTTTGTGGCATAACTAAAGAGTTATTATGTACTTAATAAAGAAAAATCTTAAACATCTGGAGCTGGGTCTATATAAAATAAAATTCACTTTGTTTGGTTAAATTTTATTAAAACCCCTTCCATTCTTTTCTTATTCCAACAGTCCATATAACATAGCTAAACATTTACGGATGAGTACATCTAATTGCTTAAATTGTCATATTTTAATAGCTGAAACATAGTGAAGTGGCAACATCGTGACATTGGTAGAGTTTTTCCCGCGCTTTTAGTTGTCAAGGGGTTTCTAATTGAAATTTACTTTTTAGGCGATCTGACGACCATTTAAGGACAAGGAATAACGCTACCAGTTTTTGTTGCCGATATTTAGGTTTAAGACTTATTAGTGATGTCATCACAGCCCAAGAATCTATAATAGGGAATAGTACCTAAAAGAATGAATCCATTATGTGTCTACGAAAATCTATGATATTGTATTACATGGTGGTTTATTAATATGTCATCTAGCTTACAAATATATTTTATAACAGTGATATAAGATTTTATGGTGTAGATAGTGCAATATGAAATTAGTTTCCAATTATGTGTTTGCTTTGTAATATTATTTAAAAAACCATAAACATTCTAGAATCAACAATTAACAAATGTAAAGAAATCAAAGGACGGAAAACTGAGCAAGTTTAAAAATAAAATGGCGGAAATGTTTAATTTATCATCACATAGTAGTATGATCACCGAAATATTTATAATATTATAATCATCGCAGCATATAAGGTGTTTTATTTTGAACCCATTTATGTGAAATACATTTTAGTCATTGACATAATTTTCACGTTATGTTCTACGGAAAAGTAAAATGGAGGCAGGTAGAAGTTAACCCCACTAAAACATTTCACAATTGAGATTAACAAAAATCATAATTCCATAAACAAAGTCCAAAGAAAAACGTAGGTATGCCTTATCTTATAACGTTTCCTCTATATTATATTACTTATATTTCTTTTCACAACACGCAAATAAGTACCTCAAGAAATAATCATTTTATTAATGATATTAATATACTTGCATCTCTTCTAAATAATGCTACTCACAAATGCAACTTGTAAATATTACATTTTTTCCATTCAAATAAATATCGTGATTTAAGTCTACTAAAAAATATTTTATTAATGTTTATTACTACGGTTAGTTCGTAGGTATATTAGAGTGTATTCATAACTACATTGTTGCAATACAAATATATGCATTATTGTTGATATAAATTGTTGGAGTTTTCAGACTTTTCACAGTAGATTCTCTAACTTCTAACCTTATATGTACATACAACTATTTCTAACTTACTTTCTATACTTAATAATAATACCTATACACTATTTATAGTAATCAAAGTAAGGGAAATCGCGATTGCTTTCCGTTACTTCGATTTATAAACTGAAAATGAATAAAATCTGAATAGAGATAGCTCTTAGGCTCTGGAATGAACTAATAAAAGAAAACAAATTAATTAAGTAACGAATCGATATATTTTTAAATAATAATATAAATAAAATGAAGTTAATGTAAACCTAAAAAAAATCGGATATAATAACAATAAACGATGCAAATAAAGAACTCAACCAGAAAACTAAAGGAAAATAAAAATACTAGTTACCTAAATGTATAGAAGTATGAGAAATGTATAATATAAATATTATATTACACAATTCTAGGCGGTTGATTTCTATACACTTAGGTAATTGGGATTTAACATGATTTTATTACAACTATACTTAGCTATTCGGGCTTATTAAAAAGTAGGTAATTAGATGCAATGTGTCTATTAGATGTTATGATTGATGTATCCTATGATGATGGCCGACGGCCAGTCGAAATTGGAAAATAAAGCTTGTTACACAACAAAATAAAAGTACTTTTAACCAAATCATTAATCAAATAAATAAACTAACTTAAGATGCTCTCACAATGCAACAAGAGGATATGTCACCCACAGAAGATATTTCACGTGTCTTAAAGCCTTTATAAGTCTTTTAGATGCATGAAATATCTAAATAAAACAAAATAAAGGCACACTCTAACTATTAACAATATAGAAGCAAGAGGACGACGCATCACAAGTCGTATTTTAAGAGGTAACGTCCATTTTCGACTGGAAATCTTAAACTAAAATGCTACCTATCTACATTAATAGTTTGTACTGAAACCTAACCAACAATAAACTTCTTCCGCATCCAATGTCTATTTCTAAAAAAATATTAACATTGTCTAAAAAAGGGTAAAGGCACTTCGAAAACGTTAAGTAAACAACGAAATTAAATCAAATCAAAAGATTAGTGCATTGGATCAAATGCTTCCCGCGTGGTCGTTCAAACCTGGGCCGGTCACCAGTCCTCAACATTTCGAGCCACGATTTGATGATTGATCAGATCAACCACCCGATCGACTACTTTGTCGAGGTCTTAAATGGCCCTCTGGCACTCCTGATGCAGCTTCAGGGGGTGGTAGCTAGCCAGGCGGGTACCTTACCCTCCCACCGGTCGGATTTAGTCGCCTCTTACGACACCCATCTCTTCCGACGTGGTATTGGGGAATGTATTCTGCTCCGCCCCAATACGGAGATGTAGGAATTCATAGTTCTATGACGTTTTTTTAATGTTGTAGAAATATATAGATATAGTACTTAGTTGCATGAGTATACCATTATTTAGACGTTGCAAGTACAAATAATTCACCGTTTGTGACATTAAGCAAACCTATGTTAACCATTTTTTTTAATTGTTTCTTAGAAGAAAGGTGAATCTCACATTTTGATTAAGCTATATTCAGTTAGCGTCTTGCCAATTATATAGTTGAAACTATTTTCCTTTTTATTATTCATTCATTCATTATGTAACATATTCAAATGGACAACTTTTCACAACAATGTTCGTGGATATACATCTACATTCTATACATTAGTTGTATAAACCTTGTAACTGTCTATGTAACGAAAGTACCGGGAAAGAATCAATATAAAAACATAAAATGTCTTCGCCTACATACTAAACTCCTTCTCAAACGATGAACGACACGACGTTAGTTCTGGTCAGTGCCATATTGGGCATTTGAGTTTTGGAAAAAGAAAGAAATTGGCTGGAGCCATATCCAGGTAATAGGGTAATACCTGAATGGTATTTGTTGAGGTTCGAGTCAAAAATTCATAATGAGGGACTCATGCGCAGGCTTATTATAGTGGTGCAAAATCTAGCCGAGAGGCAATAAGTTTCATATCCAAGCGTATTTTATTCGATCGATCGATCGACTCGTGAGACAGAAAAATCAGCGGCTATCTCTCAGTCTTAAATGAGGATTTTCCTTCACTTTCGCAACGTTAATTTCAGAGCTCGATGGTCTACCAGAGCGAGGCAAATCGTCCATTACTTCACGGCTGCGTTGTACCACTCATAAGCATATATCTTTAAATATCGTAGATCACCGTAAGCACTCTATAACATTACTAGGGACTCCAAACACGAAATTCCATTGGCAAATTGAAAATTTATGGTAATCCAAAATTTAAAAATTATACAAAATGCTAATTTTAAGAAAAACTCTTTTCTCGATGTTTTTGTCTATTATTAAATTGACAATACACACTAGATATGATCCAGCTAAACTAACGAAAAAAATGAATTTGAAACCGCAAAACAAATATTTTTTTCCCGATACTTTTTGACAGAACGTATTTTGTAATGCGATGATTATAATATCCGATATAAAGACAATTTTATTTACATTCAGTGAAACGAGTGATGAAGAAACAGGTAGAAGCTTAGATTAATTAATATTATTTATATACACTGAGCGACACAGGTGTAGAGTAGGCCAGTTATATACATAAATACCTACTTTATAGTAAAAACATTATCTATTTAAATGAACATTTATTGAGTCGAAACGTCTATGTTTTCAAACTGTTATGCGTCCAGAGTCATATTTTATGGGGCATCCACACGCTGGCTGTTTGTCACAAACACCGCAAAAAGCAAACGAAGTCCCAAACACCAACCACACTCACCCAACACAAACAGCCATCCACATGCTTGGCGAACGTTCATAACATTCCGAATCGGCAAACATGGCGGACGACGAGCTTGTTGCAGCTATTACTTTCGGGTTGACATATTTTTATTATAAATTAAAGCAAGAGAAAGAAAAAAGGAAAAAAATAAGAAAGCAAAGACGATGGTGGATGATTAAAATACATAGAAAGCGTACAAGGCTTTAGACCTATTATTTGAGCTTTACTTTGCCGTGTTTTTTTTAATTTTACTTAAAAGTTACTTAAAAATGTCAGAATCGTAGGTGCTCCAATCAGACATTTTTTACGCTTTGCGCGCCAACGAAAGTGTAGCAAGTAAATACGTCCGCCTCCCGCAAGCTCGCGCGCATACTGATCGCTGCCAAACGTGTGGATACGTAGCAAACTGTTTGCCAAACATCCTTTGATCTGGCAAGATAAACCGACACCGATGCCGAACACTGCCCAACACGAACACAAACAGGCAAACAACGACAAACACCCATCCACACGTCCGTGTTTGCTGTTTGCTGTTAGCTGTTTGCCATTGTTTGTCAAGCGTGTGGATGGGCTTTTAAATGTAATCGATTGTTACGAATGTATTATAAACGGTTCCGGAAGCACAAAAAGTGTAGTTTGTTGACTTTGAAAACAAACAGAAGAGTGTGATTGCGTTCATTTTATTTTCAGTATCATATTACTTTATATGTTACAGAACCGAGATGCAAAATGTAGCTTCAATATGTGTCAAAATATGTGTAACCTTGAGCAATCCTAGTTATATTCTTTGTCATTAGGTTACTTTAAGTCTGTCTATCATCAACCGTAAAATGAACTTTAAAAAGATAATGTTTTTAACCCCACTAAATCTAAGCTACTATTAACGTTTATGTCATAAATTCCTTTATTTTATCATCTAAGTTTGCTTTCTTAGAATCATCTAAGATTTATAGTCTAAATTACAGGTAATTTACTCCTGTTTAATCTACGGATACGTGATGCTACAAATTTAAATCAGTTACAGGCACATCGTAACTGATCCAAATTCGAAAACTATTATCTATATCTAAAACATTGCTGATAATTACTAAAGTACATCAATAATTTTTAGTGATTTTATATTTGAATTTAAAACTACATTAAAGAATACAAATATAAAGGTTCGAGCAATAAATAACCATCGAAAACTATATCTAAAACATTGCTGATAATTACTATGTAAAGGTACATCAATAATTTTTTAGTGATTTTTATATTTGGTAGATTTGAAAAAAAAAAAAAAAAAAAAAAAAAAAAAAAAAAAAAAAAAAAAAAAAAAAAAAAAAAAAAAAAAAAAAAAAAAAAAAAAAAAAAAAAAAAAAAAAAAAAAAAAACAACCAAAAAAAAAAAAAAAAAAAGAACAACAAAAAAAAAAAAAAAAAAAAAAAAAAAAAAAAAAAAAAAAAAAAAATTTTTTTGGGGGGGGAGGGGAAAAAAAAAAAAAGGGTAAAAAAAAACGGGGGGGGTGGGGGGGGGGGGGGGCCCCGGGGGGGAAAAAAAAAAAAACCAACCAACCTAACCATCTAAAATCTTTAAACAGTCCCCCCCCCCCCCCCCCCCCCCCCCCCCCCCCCCCCCCCCCCCCCCCCCTCCCTCTTTTTTTTTTTTCCGCCCCCCCCCGCCCCCCCCCCCCCCCCCTCTCCCCCCTCCCCCCCCCCCCCCCCCCCCCCCTATAAGAATAACTATTAGATATTTATGTGTAGTTAGTTCGTGGTAATTCTGTGAAAAGGATTTTTCCATGGTATGTGATGAGTTACTATAATACACTTACCTAAATACTTTTTGTGAACGTCACATCTCACCGAACATACACTACGCCAAGGGTATTTTAGTAAAAAATATCAAAATCTTAATAAAACAAACGGCTTTCCTCAAGCTTACAGCCGCAGTGCTCTTGGATTTGTCTTTAGTGTGTCTACCTGGATGATCTTATATAAAAGACATATAAATGAAAGCATTGTTTCGGATACATGATAGTCACAGCCAAAATAGAACGCACGAAATGTCGGGTGAAAAATGACGAAATTGAAAGATAGAAATGTCTAAGAATGCCCAAGATATTACGAGATCACGGGTGAGTTATTTTAGCACAGATAGAAATATGTTAAAAACTACTCGACGAAGATATGAAGTTTACGATTGAAGAATATCGTTAGTTTATTTTAATTTACAAGGGTGTATAATATAATTGGTAAAATCTAGTGCTTGCATGTAGGTTACAACGCTAAGATATTTTGATTAAAGTCTTATGTTATATTTTCGGACAAGAATATTTTAATTAATTGACTCTTGCACAATTAATTAAACCATTATGAAAGATGATAGTAATTCCGAAATTTCATATTGTGTCACTTTAAGTGTTGTCTTGTGTAAAAAATTATTTTTATACTTTTCAATTGAATAATTCGGGCGATTTGAAGAGGCGCAATGACTAAGGTCTCAATTTGTAATAGCCTCAATTTTGTTATTTCGAGATGTGTAATGATTATGACCAATGAAACAATAAAATTTTGAGTAGTTTCAATGCTTTCTGTAGTGTTAAAATCACGAAAGCTTAAAGTATTACTTGAGTAGAACATTTTTATCTAGTAAAATTAAACATAAGTAATTTAAAGAAATGTTTCTTAATAATTAATTGATGATTATTTTTTACACTCTGACTTTTAAGCGCTTCTGTGAAATGAACGAGAGCTTCTAGTCAATGAAACGTTTCCGTATCTCTTACAATTTAAGTCATTTATAAGTCATGCATTAACAATTACTGTAAACTTATATTTTTATAATCTGATACTTTTACAGATCGAGTATTTGACATAGTATTACACAATTAAACGTTGTTTTGATTCAAGTTCTAAAAAAATTAACGTACACCAGATGATTTGAGCGTTTAGTGATTGACACATGTCTTTTGTAACCAAAAGCTTCCTTATTTAATGTGAGAAACAGAATCCAAACGTTTCATTGACTATATTCGATGCCTGCGCACGCGCACGCGAGCAGACGCGGTGGGCCGTCGCAGGCAGCACAGGTAGGCGAGCACGAATAAGACGTAGGGCGTAAGCACGGCGGCGGTCAGCTGCATCGCCTGCACTACTTCGCCACTTGAACGCGAGAATCACTTTTGTTCTTCCTCGTCGCGGAATAGGTAGGTCGACCTGGAAGGAATGGTAGTGTATTCTACTTTCACAAGAATTTGCTATTAAACATCGGTGGCCACATGACATAGTCTGTTGGTATATCCCTTCTAAGGAATAATGGAAATAGCGCAATCTTTTCTATTGTCTGTTTTAATTTATTTAAAGAATTACAATGGATTTAAAAAAATGTTTCTCGATTAAGAGATTATTTTGTTCTTTTTTGAAAATAACATAAATTCCTGAACGTTTTTTGACCTTTTCATAACATGAAATAATAATCTTCCCCAATGTTTTTTGTGGTCGAAACACTGTTCTATTTCAACCAAGGTATCGTGGAAAACGTATACTTTCGTTTCCCAGAGAATTCTGTATCTGATATAGATCGAGTTAATAACAGAATTCTAAGTACTTAAAACTCTTACCAGTAGGCCAAGTTGAAGAGCGCAAAAACTAGCGGGAAAGTTATACGCGAGATCACGTCTATCCTCTTAGAGCGCGTCGGGAACTTGGACATCCAGATTCTGCAGCAGTTCTTCTTTGGCGGAGTCATGTGGATCTCACATTGCCGCATCTTGTCGTTGTTGCCGCGCACCAGCGGTTTCTGTCAGTTGCAGAGAGTCAGGCACGACAGTAACATTACACTCTCTAGGATACGAATGCTACTTCCTTTGGTATTTAAAGGCCAGATTTGGTCATCAAATTTAGAATATATTTATTTGTAAAGTGAGATTTTTTGAGAATTTATGTTTCGTATGTTTTATGTGGTCAACAATTTATCGTATCAAATAAAATACTTACTAATTTAATATAATTCCAGAAAGCCTGGAGCTATAACTTACATACTATTGATAACACATTCTACGAAATATAATGAAATTGTCATTCACCAATTATCAAACCTATATAAAAAAATTGATTCTAACTACACTAACCCAAACCGATGTATCCTTCAAAATACCAAAATAAGAAGCATCTATCTCATGGGATCAAAGGGTATATCTGTTAACTGTGTACTTTAAGACATGCAAAAAAAATTGTCCAAATAGAAACAAAATACACATAGGACATGCTTTCGGGTCTAAACCTGCTTTGATCCCAGATGGTTAAACTAAATGCGAGCTCACCATTGCAAACGTTGTGTTACTATCTGTGTCAAGGAGATCGGAGGCCGCATCCATACTTGCAGCTGCCTCCATCTCCCGTCTCGTTTTCTTCATATTCTCCCGGTGCATGTCAGAGCGAGATGCATAGTTCACTAGAGCGAACTCAAGCAAGGCTCCAAACACGAACGTGAGGCATACTCCAGTCCAGACATCGATGGCCTTTGTGTAAGAGACTGGAGGGAGCGACGCGTTGATTCCTGACGACTGAGTCGCCATAGTTAAAAGTGTCGTTACTCCTGTTAAAAACGGTAAGGTATAGAAAAACATGGCCATCATCTGGCAAGAAACTGCTGCTAGTATTTATTTTTGTCTCAGCAATTTGTATATTAGTTATATTTATTTAAATAGAATATAAGACTAATTGAGGAAAAAACGGATCTAAAAGCAACTTTATTCATGGAATAAAATTTGTCTTACCCAATGAGACTCTCGCCGGGACCGCTCCTTGGTCGAGCCAGAAAGACACCCAGGAGACGATTACTAACATGCAGCAAGGTATATAGATCTGAATGAGGTAGTAACTGAACTCTCTCTTAAAAAGAAGATCCACTTTCAAGCAACTGTATTCGCCTGAAAGAATATACATATTAATTATTTCACAATTATATAATTTACAATATACATAGGATATTTTTTTATATGTTTGTGGACACTACCAAGTTTATTTTTTTATCTGTTTAGTTCTACTGTGGCCTTTTATTATTTCACGGCCGGTTTTTGAATAGTCATAATCAAAGCAAAGTTTTATAGCCAATTTATTAGTGGTAGTGGTAGTACGGTTAACGGTATAGTGTAGTGGTAGTCATCCAAACCAACATTTCGCTTCATATTAAATAGGAATTCTTATATGTACTAACTTGAATTCTGGTCTCTTTTATTAAGAAAGTTATTTTTAACAGATCCTAAATATTCAAACAACTTCAGAAAATATTTTGATTAAATTAAAACGTCCAGATAAAGTTTAAGACAATTTATCCGTATCTAATGACAATATGTCAAATTTCTAGGAATACTAACGTCGGTTGTCTAAAACCAAAAAAATAATCACCTGTATTAGTTTTACTGTTACAATAATCAGTTAAAAATTTCTCGAGGGTAAAGCGAGGCAGATGAAGGTTTTTCACAACCTGGACTGGGTCACCTTCCTTCCACAGGAACACGAGATCATCTGTCGTCCAGCCGTCTGTAAATTAATATAAAATATAACATGATTATAAATGTTCTGGTTGGTTTGGTGTACCCTATAATCAAATCAAAATCAAATCAAAATACGTTTATTCAATTTAGATGCTTCTTAGAGCATGCTTATGAATGTCAACAACGTTTACAAAATTCACGAAAGAGCAAGACTACGCCATCCGTTCGCAAAACTACCAGGAGGCCTTGTTCTGAGAAGAACGGGCAAGAAACTCAGCAAGTTTGCCCTCCCCTTTACATTACAATTATTCAAAGGAAAATGTCATAAACCACAACGTCATTAAAATTACATAAGTAAAAAAAATAAAAAAATCGGTTCTGTGATTTACCACATTCACCATTACACACATATTCATAACACTTCAAAGATAACAAATCAAATTATAAGAATATAATTAGAACTATTGCCAAGCGTTTTTATCTTTCCAGGTAGTCATTGACTGTGTAGTAACCTTTACACATTAAGGTTTTTTTGATGTGTGTTTTGAATTGTTTAAAGGCAGTTCCAATATTTCACTAGGAATTTGTTATAGAGCGTATACTTAGGCCCATAAATGAAGTATTTATTTTCTGCAACCTGTAGACGGCTGGAAAAGTTTTTCCTTATTTCTTGTATTCCTATTGTGAATGTCGCTGTTCTTTAAAAGAGAACTAATATTACTACGCACAAAAAACGATACAGTTGTAAATATATTGGGAAGGTACCGTCAAAATATCGATTTCCTTGAACAAATTTCTAAGTGAAGTGCCTGGTTTCAAGCAATAAATTGACCTAATAGCACTTTTTGCAAGATAAAAATAGATTGTATATTTGCTTTGCCCCATAAAAATGATCCATACGACATAACGCTGTGAAAGTAACTAAAATATACCATTTGGGTTTCTGTCTGTGAGTTGCTAATTTTCTAATAGGTATGCCGAGAATAAGCTTGTAGAAAGTTTAGTGATATGTGACTCATTGAATTTTTGGTTTGTAATGCAGAAATACCTAGAATCAACTAAATTTATTTTTCATTGTTCGTTTAAGCTTATAGTTGTAGTTTTAACATTAGGTAAAGTAAATCTTATACATTTTTTTTTGTGGCATTTAACTGTAAATTATTTGCAGAAAACCAGCACACTTATTTTAGAAAGTATTGTTCAATGTCAAAATTTGTTTATATCTATTTACTTTAAAAATCAAGGACGTGTCATCAGCAAACAATACAATATCACATAATGGCTTTGAATAAGAAGGCAAATCGTTAATATATATAAAGAAATAAAAATGGTCCTAATATTGATCCTTGAGGGACTCCCATTTTAATATGTGATCCCGAAGATTTAGTTCCATTTATATCAACTTTATGAGTTCGACAACTTAGGTAAGAGGTTATTAAGTTAAGAGCTACATTTTTTATACCATAGTGGTCAAGTTTGCAAAGAGAGTCTCATGATCAACACAATCAAACGCCTTGGACAAATCGCAGAAAACTCCCAGTACATTTTGAGTTTTCTCCCATGCATCAAATATATGTCGTAAAGATATTCCAGCATCGTAGTGGAGCGACCTTTAGTAAAACCGTATTGTGCGTTGTGTAGAAGACTGTTTGTATTAAAGAATGTAATTAATTGTTCTAGTATAATTTTTTCAAAAACTTTACTTAAAGTTGGCAATATTAGATGGCATATGGATCTGTATAGGCAATGAGACACACATATTTGCCATTGTTCCATTGCTAATCTATAAGACGGTGGTGATCAGCCGTCTGTACGATCCCTAGCCCTAATACGCCACACGCGTTTATACTGACGAAGGCGATGGGTTCCTATGGGCATGGTACAATCAACAATTATACAAATGAAATATATTTTATTACGATAGATAAAGATATCATCTTGAGTACATCGTCCTTTCCGTTGAACAGGGGGCAAACCGGCAGGAGGCTCGGACAGCAAGTGATATTAAATGATGCATGGACAGTGCCAATGCCAGAGGGCTCGCGAGTATGTTGCCAGCGTTTTACCAGCCGCTCTGTACTATGATTTACGTTTTTGTTATGCAATAATCTTAAAAATATGTAAATTTTATTGATTTTCTGGGGTTAAACTACCTATCCTATTACTTATAAGAAGGCTTGTACATTTTGAAATATAAAGAATATTATATATTTTTGTAGAAAAACAGGTATCATGCTGTGATTTGTAATCAGGAGTTATAAAACTTATCTAATGGTAAGCTTTTTAATTTTATCGTGCTTTTATATCAAATGTAAGGAATTAAATACCCGTGCGTGATGTTACGGATCGAAAATTTACAAACGTTTCATTAGTATCATTAGAAAGTTTTAATATACCAAGTGGACTCCTTGGAGGGAAAATGTCGTAAGAAATCTTACAGGAAACTTTATTTTTTAAATAACACAATCGGGACATTGTCAATGCACCATGGTACATTAAAAATAAAAGTATCCACAAGGATCTTAATGTGGATACAGTCCTAAATACGGCGAAACGGTTTGCCTTAGCTCACTTAAACAGGCTACATAACCAGGTTAATGCTGAAGCAATCCAACTTCTTGACACGACAGGAATAAGACGCATAAAGAGAGAAACCTTTAGAATTAATAAACCTAGTGTAGTGAATATAAGTGCAAGTGCGTCAAAATATTATAGAACACTAAGACTGTTTATGAACATTACCTAAGTTTAAGCAATTCATTAGTATTGTTGAAAATTCGGTCAAAATAATATTACTTATTAGCGATAATTATTGTATAGGCTAGATTGTAATTCATGTCACTCTTTTTTGAGAAAAAAAATAACACAATAATAAATCTTGCGTTTTTGTTCTGAATCTATCATAAATATTTCCATCAGTTTATATAAACTATGATGGTTCTCAATTGATATAGTATTTTATAAATACCGTACATCCATTAGCAATACAATTATTAAATCACATTTTCGTGCGGAAAATTGCAGTAAATATGTCAAGACGGTAAAAACGTTTACCTTTACAAAAATAACCGGCCTCTGTTTACGTTAACCAAACGCTGGGTAGCGATACTGTTATTTTATCTTTCGCTAAATATAATGTGTGATAACTCTTGTCAAAAATATCACAGTTGGTAAAAGACAATGTTAATCTGTGTGTTTTTTTACTACACTGTTGTTATATAACTACTGTTCAGTTATTTCTGCCAAATTGCGTTTGCGTTATTTAGGTTAAGATTCAGAAACTAGACTTAGCACGAACTATGTCTCCCGTATGCCAAAATCTTATACGTTCTCGTCTCGTTTCTGAAAATCACCCCAAAAGTTATCAAAGATTTTTCTAATATTATTGAAAGTGTGTTTACAAATATTATTTAATTGGATTAAGATGTTGAAATTATTACATTTACTTATAATATTTATAATAAAATAGAATAAGCATAATGGAAGAATAACACACCGCAAAGTATCGCAATACACCGAGAAAATGCTGCCAGCAAGTGCGGTTCAAACTATTTAAATTTATTTTACTTACCTATTAATCCAATTTTATTTTTAATATAATTATTATTACTATGTAAGTAAAAAAATGTATTTTTTTTATTATAACGTCTCCTCTGTGGGTTTTGAACGGATTTTGAATTAGTGGAAAGTTAAATTATAGTATTGGGTAAAGCATAGATCAGCCAGTTATTTTTAACTTGTATAAAAATACTAAAACTTACAGCTAGCCATCCTCAGCGAGCAAGTCTGCTTATCCAGTGGGTACAACTTCAGGTTCATCGGACAGGAGAGCGTGAGAGAGATACGGATGCTGTACAGCACATTGCCATTGGGGAAGATTCTGATGTACACGTTTGGCATGATGATGTTGTGGAAGTGACCCTCCTTCTCGTTGGAGAAGAAGAGGTCAGGCATCCATACTCTGTTCGCTTCGGTTAGTGTTAAGTATTTCAGACGTCCTGAAAATGAAAATGTATAAATTTCTAAACTCAATTTATTAAAAAAAATTGGAGCTAGAAAAAAGTTATTAAACCATTTTTTGTTTGTATTCATGTACCATTAGCAGTCTGGTTAAGATCGCCACAAATGCTTATAAAAATATTAAATTCTTCAACTTAATATTTAAAAAAAAATTATGTTGCTAATAACTGACAGTGTAATCCATTTATTAGCCGCGGTAGGAAATACCTAAACGTAAAAACTTTACAGCTTTTTTACTAACAGTATCATAATGTGTATAGTTAATGAATCAAAACATTAACTTCCCCCGAGACACTGGGTAAAGGGTAAAGTTTACTTCGAAACTTTAAAAGCTTTTTACGAACGCATTGCGTGAGTTTGCCGACTGGCATATTAAAGTTATTTTGAGCTTTGTTTATTTATTCATAGACTACAATTACAAATGGCGATTAAATCTTAATTAAAAAAAAAAAAAAAAAAAAAAAAAAAAAAAAAAAAAAAAAAAAAAAAAAAAAAAAAAAAAAAAAAAAAAAAAAAAAAAAAAAAAAAAAAAAAAAAAAAAAAAAAAAAAAAAAAAAAAAAAAAAAAAAAAAAAAAAAAAAAAAAAAAAAAAAAAAAAAAAAAAAAAAAAAAAAAAAAAAAAAAAAAAAAAAAAAAAAAAAAAAAAAAAAAAAAAAAAAAAAAAAAAAAAAAAAAAAAAAAAAAAAAAAAAAAAAAAAAAAAAAAAAAAAAAAAGGGGGAGAGAAAGAAGAGGAAAAAGAAAGAAAAAAAAGAGGGGAGGGAAAGGAGGGGGGGGGGGGAAGGGGGGGGAGAAGGGGGGAAAGAAAAAAAAAAAAAAAAAAAAAAAAAAAAAAAAAAAAAAAAAAAAAAAAGGAGGGGGAAAAAAAAAAAAAAAAAAAAACACCCCCCCCCAAAAAAAAAAAAAAAAAAAAAAAAAAAAGAACCACAAAAAAAAAAAAAAAAAAAAAAAAAAAAAAGAAAAAAAAAAGAAAAAGAAAAAAAAAAAAAAAAAAAAAAAGGAGAAAAGGGAAAAAAAAAAAAAAAAAAAAAAAACCCCAAAGGAGCGGAACCCACCAACCCCCCGGGCCCCCCCACAAACAAAAAAACCCAGGAAAAAAAAGGAAAAAAACCCCCCCAAAAAAAAAAGGAAAAAAACCAGGGGAACACGACACAAAAAACCAAAAAAAAAAAAAAAAAAAAAGAAAAAAAAAAAAGAAAAAAAAAAAAAAGAAAAAAAAAAAGGAAAAAAAAAAGGGGAAAAAAAAAAAGGAAAAAAAAAGAAAAAAAAAAAAAGAAACAAAAAAAAAAAAAAAAAAACAGACAACCCCGGCCAAAACCCAAAGGGAGGGGGGGGGGGAGGGGACGGGGGAAAAGGGGGGGGAAGGGAGGAGGGGAGGGGGGGGGGGAGGGGGGGGAAAAAGAAGGGGAAAAAAGGGGGGGGGGGGGGGGACGGGGAAAAGGGGGGGGGGGGGGGGGGGGGGCCCGGGGGGGGGGGAAAACCAGAAAGGGGGGGGGGGGGGGGGGGGGGGGGGAGAGAGGGGGGAGGGGGGGGGGGGGGGGGGGGGGAGGGGGAAAAAAAGGAAAGGGGAAAAAAAAAAAAAAAAAAGAAAACAAAAAAAAAAAAACAAAAGAAAAAAAAAGGGAAAAAAAAGGCCCCAAGAGGCCCGGGGGGGGCCCCAAAAGAAAACAACCACCCCCGCCAAAAACCGCCGCCAACACAAAAACCACCCCCCAAAAAACAACCCCCCCCCCCAAAAAAAACCCCAAGAGGGGAAAAAGGGGAGAAGAGGGGAAAAAAAAAAAAAAGGGGGGAAGAGGGAAAAGAGGGGGGGGGGGGGGGGGGGGGGAGAGGAAGGGAAAAAAGGGGAGGGGCGGAAGGGGAAGGGGGGGGGGAAAACCACCAAGGGGGGGGGGGGGGGGGGGGGGGGGGGAGGGGAGGGAGGGGAAAGGAAAAAAAGAAAAAAGAAGAAAAAAAAAAAAAAAAGAGGAAAAAAAAAGGGAGGGGAAAAAAAAAAAAGGGGGGGGGGAAAAGAAAAGAAGGAGAGGAAAAAAAGGGGAAAAGAAAGGAAAAAAAAAAAAAAACAAAAACCCCCCGGAGCGGGGGGGGGGGGGCGGGAAGGGAAAGGGGGGGGGGGGGGGGGGGAGGGGGGGGGCCGGGGGGGGGGGGGGGGGGGGGGGGCCCCAAGGCGGAACCCACCAGAAAGGGGAAGGAAAAAAGGGGAAAAAAAAAAAAAAAAAGAGGGGAAAAGACAACGGGGGGGGGGGAGAAAGGGGGGGGAAAATTTTTAGAAAAAAAGGACAAAAAAAAAAGAAAAAAAAAAAAAAAAAAAAAAAAAAAACAAAAAAAAAAACCCTTAAAAATTTAAAAAAAAAAAAAAAAAAAAAAAAAAAAAACGAAGGGAAAAAAAGCCCCCGGAGGGCAGGAACCCCCGGGGGGGCCAGAGGGGGGGGAGATTTTGAAAAATAAAAAAAAAAAAAAAAAAGGGAAGAAAAAGGGGGGGAAAAGGGGGGGAAGGGGGGGGGGGAAGGAGGAAAAGGGGGGTTATTGGAGGGGGGGGAAGGGAAAAAAGGGGAAAAGGGGGAGAGGGGGAAAAGGGGGAAAAGGGGGAGGGGGGGGGGGGGGGAGGAGGGGGGGGGGGGGGGGGGGGGGGGGGGGGGGAGAGGAAAAAAAGAGAGAAAGGGGGGGGGGGGGGGGGGAGGGGGGAAAAAAAAAAAAAAAAAAAAAAAAGAAAAAAAAAAGGGGGGGAAAGGAGGGGGGGGGGGGGGAAGGGGGAGGGGAAAGGGGAGAAAAGGGAGGGGGGAAAAAAGGGGAGGGAAAGGGAAAAAAGGGGGGGGGGGGGGGGGGGGGGGGGGGGGGGGGGGGGGGGGGGGGGGGGGGGGGGGGAGGGGGGGGGAAAAAAGGGAAAGGAAGGGGGGGGAGAAAGGAGGGGGAAAGGGGGGGGGAAAAAAGGGGGAAGAAAAAAGGGGGAAAAAGGGGGGGGAAAAAAGGGGGAAAAAAAAGAAAGAAGGGGAAAAAAAAGGGGGGGGGGGGGAGAAAAAAAAAAAGGGAGGGGGGAGGGAGGAAAGGGGGGGAAAGGGGGAGAGGAGGGGGGGGGGGGGGGGGAGGGAGTGATGGAACTAGGGGGGGGGGGCAAAACCCGGAGCAAGAGAAAACCCCCAACCAGGGGGGGGAGCCAACCGGGGGGGAAGGGAGGGGGGAGAAAGGGGGGGGGGGGGGGGGGGGGGGGGGGGGGGGGGGGAGGGAGGGGGAAGAAGGAAGGGGGGGGAAAAAAAGGAGAAAGGAGAAAAAGGAAAGGGGGAGGGGGGGAAGATGGGGGGGGGGGGGAAAAAAGAAGAAAGGGGGGGGAGAAGGGGGGGAGGGGGAAGGGGGGGGGAGGGGAAAAAGGGGGGGGGGGGGGGGGGGGGGGGGGGGGGGGGGGGGGGGGGGGGGGGGGGGGAAAAAAAAAAAAAGAAGGAAGGAGAAAAGGAAAAAAGAAAGGGGGGAGGGAGGGGGGGGGGGGGGGGAGGGGGGGGAAGGGGGGGGGGAGAAAAAAGGGGGGGGGGGGGGGAAAAAAAAAAAAAAAAAAAAAAAAAAAAAAAAAAAAAAAAAAAAAAAAAAAAAAAAAAAAAAAAAAAAAAAAAAAAAAAAAAAAAAAAAAAAAAAAAAAAGAAAAGGAGAGGGGGGGGTGAGAAAAAGGAAAGAAAGAGAAAAAGAAGGAAAGGAAAGAAAAAAAAGAAAAGGGGAAGGGGAAGGGGGGGGGGGGGGGGGGGGGGGGGGGGGAGGGGAGGGGGGGGGGGGGGGGGGGGGGGGGGGGGGGGGGGGGGGGGGGGGGGGGGGGGCCGGGGGGGGGGGGGGGGGGGGGGGGGGGGGGGGGGGGGGGGGGGGGGGGGGGGGGGGGGGGGGGGGGGGGGGGGGGAGGGGGGGGGGGGGGGGGGGGGGGGGGGGGGGGGGGGGGGGGGGGGGGGGGGGGGGGGGGGGGGGGGGGGGGGGGGGGGGTGGGGGGGGGGGGGGGGGGGGGGGGGGGGGGGGTTGGTTGTTGGGGGGGGGGGGGGGGGGGGGGGGGGGGGGGGGGGCCGGGGCCCCCCCCCGGGGGGGGGGGGGGGGGGGGGGGGGGGGGGGGGGGGGGGGGGGGGGGGGGGGGGGGGGGGGGGGGGGGGGGGGGGGGGGGGGGGGGGGGGGGGGGGGGTTGGGGGGGGGGGGGGGGGGGGGGGGGTGGGGGGGGGGGGGGGGGGGGGGGGGGGGGGGGGGGGGGGGGGGTGGGGGGGGGGGGGGGGGGGGGGGGGGGGGGGGGGGGGGGGGGGGGGGGGGGGGGGGGGGGCCCCCCCCTCCCCCTCCGGGGGGGGGGGGGGGGGGGGGGAGGGGGGGCTTTTTTTCCCCCCGCGGGGGGGGGGGGGGTTTTTTTTTTGTTTTGTTTTCTCCCCCCGCCCCCGGGGGGGGGGGGGGGGGGGGGGGGGGGGGGGGGTTTTCCGCCCCCCCCCGCCCCCCCCCCGGGCCCGGGGGGGGGGGGGGGGGGGGGGGGGGGGGGGGGGGGGGGGGGGGGGGGGGGGGGGGGGGGGGGGGGGGGGGGGGGGGGGGGGGGGGGGGGGGGGGGGGGGGGGGGGGGGGGGGGGGGGGGGGGGGGGGGGGGGGGGGGGGGGGGGGGGGGGGGGGGGGGGGGGGGGGGGGGGGGGGGGGGGGGGGGGGGGGGGGGGGGGGGGGGGGGGGGGGGGGGGGGGGGGGGGGGGGGGGGGGGGGGGGGGGGGGGGGGGGGGGGGGGGGGGGGGGGGGGGGGGGGGGGGGGGGGGGGGGGGGGCCGCGCCCCGCCCCCCCGCCCCCCCCCCCCCCCCGGGGGGGGGGGGGGGGGGGGGGGGGGGGGGGGGGGGGGGGGGGGGGGCCGGGGGGGCCCCCCCTTTTTTTTTTGGGGGGCCGGGGGGGGGGGGGGGGGGGGGGGGGGGGGGGGGGGGGGGGGGGGGGGGCGGCCCCCCCCCCCGTTTTTTGTGGGGGGGGGGGGGGGGGCCCCCGGGGGGGGCGCGCGCCGGGGGCCGGGCCATTGCCCTAATTCTACAATATTTTCAAAGACAGTGTATGTGCACTGTATAAAAATAAAAGTCACATACCTCCCAAATTATTGAACTTCAATCTCTCGTCCAACCATTGTTCTCTGAACGTCAGCTGAACTGAGTATTCCTAAAAACGTAAAATTGCTTTAAAATTAACTTTATTATCCCAATGACAAAATAAACTTTATCGAGAAAAGTTTTAATCTGTTGTTAAACCGACTTGAGTTTGACGTTTCTATTTGTCATTTAGCAGTATTTTATATATATTACGCTGATAAATAATAATATAAAATAACATTTAAAAGATACACTTTCGGTGGTGGCTATGTAAAACAAAAGATGACACGAAACCGTACGATTATGATTAGACAAACGGATGTAAAATCATAACAAATCATGTATGTTGTACACCTGTTGGACGAGAGATGCTATTGACCAATCACAATTTAACAATACTCACCATAGTTTAACATTATTAACCCTACTGTATATACGTACTATATGTAGTTAATGAAAATGTCATATTTATTTGCAACATTTAACGAGAGTCATAAGAACTGAACTGACAGGTTAATGAGTAATAATTGATTATGGCATTCGAAGTAGGAAGACATATACGTACACCCGAAGTAAATTTTAAGTAATATCACAAAAATACTGCTTTAAATATGTTAAAACAATAAGTAGGTTATATAAGGTACCTACATATATTCAAGTCAGTTCTTTTAAAAAAGGAAATTTTAATTTTTATATTATATCTTTTTAGTTTAATCAAAGTTACAAGTTCTATGAAGCTTTGGTTCAGCAATCTATAGTTATGTGCCTTTATGAGACTTAAATAGGGTTGCCAAATTTATTCTTGCTTTTGTTTAAGTTAAGATATTTATATAGTCAAAGTAATATATATATTGTAGTTGTAAAAATGACTTCTTTACTCGACTCCCATTGGGAGCACATAAGTTGACAAGACTTTAATAGAGTCAGATATAAAGATATATTACAGACTGTAATTAATCATAGATTATCCTTTATTTTACAAATCATCTTTGGTGACATAAAATAAATGATAATCTAACTCAACGACAAGTTACAAAAATGTTTGAATATTTAATAGTTACTATAATTGGCAACCCTAAACTAAATGTACTAATATTACGTGTTCTTAAGTGATAACTTATTGTTCGTGTAGAGCAAACACAGTAACACACATACAATGATGTCGAAGGTATATATTACATTCAACATTAAATTACGGCCTTCGACATCAAAACAGCAAGTCAAATGAATTTTTTAACGAAAAAGCTTACATCAAAACGTCTGCACCGAAACGACTCAAATGAGACAAAAATTTAACATTCAAAACGGTGTATCGAAAGTCAGGTTGTCAGTAAAAAAAAAACAAGCAAAAAAAACTAGAAGAAAGCGTATTCCATATATTAAAGATACAAGGACAAATCAGGATCAGCCTTACGATTAAGTCTTCAATTACTTAAACACATTCTCAAGTAGTATATCAAGCGCTCGCGTTTACAATTTAAGTCGTTTCTGTGGCAGATGTTACGCTATTAATTGGTGCATTCAAACCAGAGAGTATTGAATATTAGCTTTTCTACTATTCGGTTGTTTTTATACAACAGATACACGAATATCTTTTTTAAATTTCGAATAACCCGTCACTGTTAAGTTTTTTTTACTAGATCTTTGCGAAAACTTGGCAACTAATAATCTTTTGGACGTCATTAAATACATACTGTGTTATTGTTGATAAAAATCTCGGTTGTTGATCGATGTGAATGCAACCAACTGCGCATGCCATAAATAATAAGTAGACAATAGTTTTAGACAAATATATACAATCAGTATGTATATTGGAATTTTATTCCTTTATTAAAAGCAATTGTTAGCAATAAATATTAAGATCATTTTTTTATAAGCTTAGCATAGCGTGGCTTAAATTGATAAAAAGCATCGATAGATAATTCTGGAAATCGTAATAGAATAAGAGACTTATAAGAGAAGATAATTATAGTCTTGCTAAATTGCTATGTTATAATAATAGAAATAATGCATGTATTAAGCTGCATAGTTTTTAAATTAGCTTTTGGATTTTATATTTCGTCGGAACTTAAGAACATTGGTAATATTAAGGATTGTATTTATGTTGACACACGGAAGTAATACTTAGCGCTAAACCTCATCACTAAATCTCGCCGTATTAAAAATTATTACGTTTTAAAAAACCTTACATCGTTTACTAACTGTTTTCGATTAAGGACCTTTTTATAATTTGTGCAATATATTTAATATAATATTAATAAATCACCCCAGACTGCTTGTATCCAACCTCTAAATCAGTATTTATTGATGTTTACAATAATTATTTGTTGTGGCAACACAGAAACAAACTCTTTGAATCTTCGTAGCACAGCGCTACGAGCCCTTTTAAGTGAAAGACTCGATTATGATCACTTACTAATTATTTTCATACGTAAATAAGAATACATGAGTTCTCTTAGTATTCAAACAATCATGCTTCATGTGTGTGTCAGTAAGAGTATTGGGTTCGCAACAGAAAAATTATGTGTTATACTACGCACTTTCAAAATATCAGTTTTAGCAAACAACTCCTAAAATCAGGAACGGAAGCCCAAAAACTTAACTTGAAAGTTAACAAATATTAGGTGGACATTGATTGATGCGGCATTATTATGAATGATTACTATATTGGCTGTTTGCCAAATGCTACTATCAAGACATATTACGGCCCACGCTTCGTGTGGGCCGATACTCAATGTAAATTTCCCTTAAAAACAGTTCTATTAATATTTATCTATGACTCTATGAATTCATTCAAACAACCACTTGATTGACTAGATTGTGTGTTTTGTTTTAGTATTTTCGTGGGGTCTATTTATTAATAATAATTTTAATATAGAGCAATGTAAGACTTAAGGTTAAATGTGCGCAAAGTGAAGTTGTCAGTTCGAAATCTGGTTGGGCAATAAATATACAACAAACAATACTAAGTATATACTATATATATAGAAAACAACGAGTCCAATTGAAATCATAACACTATTCCCGAAGGCACAAAAGCCTGATTACATACTTGGTAAAAATTATCGATTTAGCAGTCGCAGAATGAGCCCTATTGAGTTTTACAAGACGTGCATCTCTAAAAGAAGTTCAAGTGTAAACCTTAAATCTCTATTTTAAGAATAATTTGTTTACCACGTAATATAAATTGAGTTCTATATCTGGTTAAAATTGTGTGTAAATAATTTCATATATTTTTCTTTACGATTGTGGTAACGATGCATATCTAACTTCTAGGATCGGCCACGGTGACGAGCCTACCTGGTCCTGTTCTGGATAAAGAATCCAAAAAGCCATTGCCTAATAATATATATCGCTTAATGATTATTTTTTCTTATAAATACATATAATACAATAAAAAAGCAACAAAATTATCGCAAAGAGAAAAGTATATTGCATATATACCTTGATAAGTATCTACATAGTATAAAGTAGATACTTAGAATTCCAAAAGCTAATTTAAAGTGTAATATCGATATAAATAGATTAAGATAAAAATATAAATCTATATTCATTTATATCGATATCAGGCACGGCATGCTCGGTGTCAACTAAGGAAGCAATAAGTTAGAACTCACCACAGCATTCGATGAAGGAATGCTTAGCAGGCATGGCCGGTACAACTAGAGCTACAGTATAGTACATCTAGCCTTATGGCGGGGGTCACATATTGCGGTCGGGTGGTCAACCACCGTAAGCACCAAAGGCGAGTGCGGGCGCGTTAAACCCAAATTCTTTACAACACAAATTCACATGAACAAGACAATATCAAAAATCACAATCAACGTACACGACCAAAATAGTTTTTACGATCATAATCGTCAATGCATGACAAATAAAGCATGATGAAATTATAATATGAGGTGAAGAAAAGGTGCGGGCCGCGGATACCCCCCTGACCTAAGCCGTATGTGCCAATTGTATGTACTGTACCTAGTGCTATACGTTGTGCTACTATTGCAAAGGTTTAATTGTGTATGTACAGGAAGTAAATTAAAATGTTAAGTCGAAAAGGGGACCGCGGCGCCGCAATCATTGAAAAAAGGACAGATTGAAGACTTAAGGTGGCAACAAAAGGGTAAAACAGAAATCAAACAAAACAATACAAAACAGACATCCAATTGTTAGCATTATCGTAGCAGTGTGCAATTTGACAGTTATTTGAGAACAGCCAATTCTATAAACAAAGCTTCACACGTATCCAATAACGAAACTTTGCTTAATAAAAGTGTCGTGAAATAGTCTCGGCTTGTGCTTTAGTGCAGCCTCACTCACCATCTTGTAATCATCTATTTTGCTGATGGATCGTAGAAACATGTTGACGTGTACAAACGTTGGCGCATCGCCTTAACGACAGAAAAAAAATCATTTAAATAATTAGCCTTTTCCATTGAATCGATGACACAGTCATGATTCTTGATGTCGAGATGATAAAATTCTAATGTATGATTCTATATGATAATTATCTAGTTCCAGAAATGAGCCAGACTATATGGAATGTTCGTACATCTAGCTTCACCTTTCATGACTATGATGACACCAGCTTTAAAGCACGACCGATCACCGCGCGCGAAAAACGATTTTGGTCGTCAACACCAAAGAGGAACATGAAAAAAAAAATTAAAGAAAACACGACCGGGTAATACTCTCCTTCGTTGCGGAGTGAATTGCCCATTCATTTGACTTGTTTAGAAGAATCGATCAACCGCTTTAAGGAAAATAGTTATCTCATAGTGCTTAATCTAGTCCAGTCGACTTACCATCGTGACGTCATCGATTTTTGATATACTTCGGACAAATATATTGACGCTCACAACGGCTGGCCCATCTAAGTACCAAGCAAAATATACGGTTGATAATATATACAAAAGAAACTAAACCCTAAGGGATTAAGTATTTTATATAACTCGCGGCGATGACGTGTCGTACTCACCTTAAAACCTGAAAAACCTAACTCCTTAGGCATAATTACGGACGGTTAAAATTATGATCATAAATCTTCACCTCTCAACTTGTTAATACGAATTTGTGTACATTTTTCTTAATTGATTTAATAGCGCTAAACATCATTTTAGATTTAGATAATTTATATAAAAATAATAATAAGCATTGTCTATCTTTAAAAATACACCGTAGGAGACAATTAACATTTATAGTTTCACGTTAATTCGTTTAAAATTACTACAATTATTATAATTACCCTTATCGACATCTAAATGCGACTAGACCAATATCTAGTTGCCATATAATTTTTATAGCAAATCACATGAAAAATAGCGTGACATGGTATTGATTTTTTAAATGGTTAACAAGTTATGGTTGCAAGTTAAACATTATCGATCCCTTTCTTATTTTAATTATAACAAAGCTGAAAAAAATCATTTAGTAAATCATACCCACGCCCGCACCCAAAGAAAAGAAAAAAAAAAAACCACCGGGCCGTAATATGAGCTTTCATTCAACGACTTTCTAGACATAAATATAATACTTATGTCTTGTAAGTCGAAAAAGTTTTAATTTAAGCAAAGGGATTCAAAATGGCGTACGGAATTAATTTTCCCTTACCATAGTGTTAAAAATATCAGTAACAGATGTTTGCGCATATAGTCTTTTGTTTTCTCTCGTTCTCTCATTCATTTCTCTCACTAGTATTAATAACGTCCCCATGGTAAGAGATACACTAACACTTGATCTCACTTCATTGTCCTAAGGAGCGACAACAAAATGAGATTTATAACTATTTAACAAAGATCTTCGTCACCTTTGTTGTTACTAACCATCTTAATGTCGCTTATAGTTGTTATACTTCTGACGAACAGGTTTATATTTACTACGGCGGGTCCATCTGTCGGGGTAGTCAGAGACTATTGTCACAAATATTTAGAACAACATATACTGTAAAAATCGTAGGAAACCATAGATATTTATTGTACAGATTTGTAGAAATTAGTCGGTTAATAAACAATATAGTCGATCATGATTACGAAGGGATTTCTCCTTTATAAACGATTATAACATCATTAGGCAAATGTGAATAACCTCACAGGTTCAGCTCGTGTTATAAAGCCTGAGGATAAAAGCCTTATTAAAGCTTCGAACAATACATTAATTATATTTAAAAATTATTTCCAAATTGTATTGTCTTTCCATTCTATTAACCTTAGGTCTTAGAGCGTGAAAGTACGATTTATTACCCCCATCATTGTCAAAAAATTTCCAGCAATGAGTAATTATACATTATTATATTTTGTTCTTCAACGAATTAAAAACACATTTTTCAACGTAGTTTCGTGCTTTGAATTACGTATAGTCCCAAAATGCTTCTGTTTTGAAACTTTTTGTCGAATAAAACAATTTCTCAGACAAGACTGTTCCATAAATAGAAATAAATAAATTGAAGGATAATACTAACCAGTGCCATTGATACCGGAAGGTCTGATTCGAGCGTCGTATCTCCCTGGACCTAGAATCTGGTCCAGAATTTGTTTTTCTTTCTCCCTGAAGTTTATCTTCGCATTCGTGCATCTGGCATTAAACATTTAATTACACTAAACCATTAAGGCGTAAAATTAAACAGTACGAAACTTTTATTATATAGAGTCATATTAAACGAACTTAAACGCTTTATAACAACGAATTCAGTTCTTTTAGTATGCTGCCTTGCGATTCTGTAACTCACTTTACGAACTCACACAGCGGTTTTCGCATCGGCGGTCGCTCTCAAATCAGTCGTGAATCAGTCATTTTATGATTTGGCATTCTGATAAACAATAAACTACAAGCTCGCACCTTATGTGAGTTCGAAAAGTGAGTTACAGAATCGCAAGGCTGATTACAAAGTATGGAAGTAACTTGTTCGTTATATATAAATTCATAAAAAATAATGTAAATGAATATGTGACTCTAAATGTGACATATGTAAGTGTAAAGATATTGTACGGTGTTGGCAGTTGTGTACTCCATCACAGCATTCTTTGCTATTCATAGATTTTCTATTTGTATGATAAAAGCTAGTCTGAAGCAATATTGATTCTATGCGGTTTTCTTTACGTTAACTGGGTTAGTGACTTTTCTCTATCATTACATATTTTATAAATTATAAAAAACAAATAACAAATGAGATTAAATTTAAACGGCTATCAATTAAATAAAACTTAATAATGATAAATCATTGTTATTTGAATTCGTCGATAGATTCAATCTTTAGAAAATTAATCCTTAAGTTAACATTGCAAAATAATGTTTTTATCTGGATTATCATTATCTGTGCTAAATAACAGTTTAAGTATTGCGTTTTACTGAGAATAAATTACTTTAATGTTAAGCCAGTAACCATAAATAATATTATCATAATTATGCGCACACAAATTAATTATTTGGCAAATGTGGTGACATTCCTGTCTACTCTAATTTATTAATGGAATTTAAATATTATACGGATGAACACAAATTGTTAGACGTGAATTAAATAGCATTAACATAAAACGTAAACATGTTATGGATTATTTTTTAATATTATTAAATTATCCATTATTTCTGTATAATTTTATAGCATTAAACATTGACTACCTTAATTTATGTGTAAATCAGCTAATTTAGCACAATCTTTTGTGTTTTTTCACTTCTACAATCTACTTCTACGAATGTCTTTGATCAATAAAGATTTTTAATCCGAGAATTATTCTAAATAACTCATGACTTGAAGTATAAATATATCGTGTTCAATACAATTCTATCCCTGTAAGCGTAAATTTAGTAAATTTTAATATTTAGTGTAATAATAACCACATCTTGTATTAGTTGCATAAAAAAGGAGTTTATGCGAACATAATGAGTGGTGGAAATATCAACTATACCGAGACTACGAAGAAATTTACAATGAAGTATGATGATGTGCCTAACATCCATCTTATTTTTTAAGGAAAGGTTGGAATTTGCGAAAATATATATGACCTTTAGTAAATACGACTTCAGAAAATGTTACTTACTGTGCGAGGTGTGATAAGTAGAAAACTACTAGAGCAAGGAGGGCACATATTGGCCGAGAGTAGTCCATCCTCTCCCTGAAACAACACTTAATTATACATATTTATTTCTTTAAATTGTACGATTAAATAGTATATAGCAATAATTAAAGATTTTGTCAGGCATGGACAAAAATCTCAGATAATAGGGTGCAAGTGCGGCGCTAATACAGAAAGTAGGAGCCAGGTGCATCGCTAACTCCAGAGCTCTTTTTCAGGTTGTTTTTTCACAGAGCATATCATCAAATTACAGCGAAGAATCACTGCCAGTAATTTGGTACTCTACCACTCCCAAGTTATCGTATATTACAGTAATTATTATTTTATGTATACATAGTACATATGTGTATCCTAAGTGGTATTAATAAATAGAACTGGGAGTTTTTAATTCAAAAATAAGTACATTCAAATCAAATCAAAATAATTTAGTCTTTTAGGTAACACGATGTATACTTATGAACATCAAAAAGAAATACATATACATGGTAAATGCTTCTTATTTTACATTTACTGCCAGTTCTCAAATCAGGGGCGCAGACGAAAATGAAGAACTGGCAATAAACTCTCCGCCACTCTTTTTATTCGGCAAGTTTTTTGTTTTACACCATTACGCCATGTTCCACATGACATCTTAAGTAATTAATAATATAAATAAAAAAATATTGTGCGTGTACTAGGTGTACACACGTAAGAAGTGAAACTTCTTTATGATCTTATTTTTCGAAAAATGATCTACTTACTATATGCAACTTTACAGAAATTCGTTAAATTAGATAAAGTTTAACAAAAGGCTTTTATTATCATAGACATGAATACAAATATTTCATTTTACCTTATTACTACGAAGATTATTATAGAATTTCATTAATTGTAATAGAATTATTACTATCATTGAAAAACGTGACGATTTGCTACAAAATTTCTCACATACGTCGATAAAGAAGTTTCATTCCAACGCCGATAAAGAAGTTTGACTTCAAAAAGCAACATGGCGCGTAAACGAAAAATGTGACGCGTAACGAAAAAATGTTACACTAAATTTTTTTCCAACCTCGATAAAGAAGTTTCACTTCAATAAAAATAAAGATTTGTCCTCTATCAGTAGTAGGCATTGTGAAATAGGACCACGCACATATATTCTAGTAGAAACAACACGCACCTTATATAAAAAAGTGCGTGCCTACAAAGTACACAATATGTCAGAAGTGAAACTTCCTTGTCAAACTAATTTTTAAGTCTTGTTCATATTTATACAAATCAAAAACTTTAGATTTCCGAGACTTAGAGGGAGGGAAAAAGGAAGATCTATAAGGAATTTAATGAATTTATTAATTGTCATTAAAATATTAAAAGTATCGAAAATTAATACAAATTACAAATTTATTTCTTCGATAATAAAAACACGTGGCATTTTAATTTACAATTCCTCATTTGAGATTTCAATAAATTATTTTGCATAAAATATAAAACACAAATATTTCATAATTTCTCTTTACGAAAAAAAGAATTTCTATAAGGTAATTCGCCTTTCTCACTCTCTCTCAATCGGTCTCAATAGCCCTCTCCCTTTTCTTCGACAAAAACGCTGCACATCTTCGTTACGCTAATATTATTATCACTGCTTTCATCCGTAAAAAAATTACCCTCATGCGCCTAAAGAAGTCACTTCAAAAATACATAGCTAGCACGATCGTTTTTAAACCCAATCAGATAATGTATGCGCACAGAAACATGACCACTATATTAATTATACTACCACCTCTTTTGTTTTAGTTAAAAAGTTCAAAGTAATCCTGTCAATTAAGTTAACAACGTACTTAACTAGCAATTATGCAAAGAAGTTAAATTGGCTCTTGAGTGGCTAATTACTAGCCTGTGTTCTACACGAGCACTTTATACCGAGCACGCTTTGACAAGTATATTATACTCGTTTTATTAATTAGGTCTTGAAATATACCACTTAATACATATATTTCGCCTAAAACAAACTAATTCCAATTTATTGTAGTGCGTTAAATATTTATTATAATAATCATACGAAATATCAGACAGCTAAAAGGAGCTTGAGCAAAGTTCGTAGCATCTGTATTGTTGTAACTCGCTACGATCAGGCTACGTAATAGTCGATTATACCCTTTAATATGCAGAATATGATTTTTGGTAGACAAAAATAATACCCTTTATTAAATTGTATTTGTAGATTTTTGAAAGTGAATAATAATAATTTACAATACCAAATACCTGGACAAATCAAAATATGAAAGAAAATGCAGAAACGATGTTAAAAAGTAAGGTTAACATTGAACACGTGTAAACCAGTAAAAGGAGCCTTTTATAAAATTAACTCGTGTCGTGTGTCTGTTTGTCATTTGGATATACGCCAATATTGTCGAAACTAAATACTTGTTTTTAAAATTCAGCCTAGCCGTAAAAATATCTTCAAATAAATATATTACGACAACGGAAATCTGAACTTCAAAGTATTGTATTTTATTTATAAACAAATTATAAAAGTTTATAAATCCAAACCTTTTAAATTCCTGTCTAAACTTAGAAAACAATTTCACTAGCGCTGCACAATTTATGTAATATATTGAGAACACAAAATTCGCCCAAAGTACTAAATGTCAACCAAAATAAATGCTTTAATTCAACTAGACACTGGTAATTTATTATACCGTAATTATTATTTATTTCAGACAGCAGTCTGCTACTGCCGACAGCCGAAATAGAACTGAGTAGTGAGTTCCCTGACTTCTGAGTACTGAGAGCCAACACATAAAACTGCATTTGCGCATTCCGTCGCTTGCGCGGTGACCTTTTATCGGAAACAAATGTCACTTTGACAGAACCTTTTACGCGGGAAATTGTTTTAAAATGGCGGTCTAGAACTTCTAAATGTGTCTAATGGCATTAATGTCACACGTACTTGGATATTTATTGCGTTGGTGATACATAACACATTTCCATTTTGCATAATGAAATTATTGGTACTCTTTCAGTATTTAATTCTATTAAAAGCCTTTTATAAGAAAAAATTATATCATGTGAATATTTTATCAATGTTTTTACCTTTTAATATATATTACATATATAGGTGGATACCTCGTGGATTTCCTTTCGATGTTTCACTGCATGTGTTAATTGCGGACATACGAGAATCAAACATTGGTGCAAATATATAAATATTGAACGCACAACCTCAGGGTTGAAAACGCCCTCTTAAACACTAGACTAACGTCTAATGTCGTCTAGTAACGCTCTTAATGGAGGAATGAGGTAAATATGAAATATAGGTATAGCAGTGAAACATTTTCTCTTTATTTTAGTATATTTTTAACACAGCAATCTATTTTTAATTATGGTAAGATTTTGTGTGTCATCTGAAATGCCCTAATACTCGAATTGTCTATTTTTCCACAGTAGACAAGGGACCAAATAGATATTTTGCTTTGATAGATACTTCAATAACTGCAAAGCAAGCTAATTTCCCACTGGAATATTTCAGTTCTCGTCAGAACAATAACTCCATCCCGGTCAAGAGGCGAACGCATAATCTGAACGTTATAGTCCGCCCTTTCGACACTCGTAAAACAAAAGCAACGCACTATAAAATAGAAATATTTTCTCATATAATCTTTATTTATTTATTTATAAAAGCTTGCCAACGCTCGGCACACTGATACATTGGTACAAGAAAAATAAATAACAATATTTAATGTGACAAGCACTTATAGGCAAACATAACATACACGAAGAGATTAACTAAAGGAAAAGGAAAATCAATTAAACAATTCGATGAAATCTATAGAAACATCTAAAAAATAAAATGCTTTCACATTTAATTTTTATCAAAAAACTCTATAAAATGAAATCATCGTAACGTTTGAATATTAATCCATAATCCAAATACCGGCATAGACAAAACTTTAGAACAAAAGCTGTATTCCGGTCAAGTATTAGCACAATGCATGCTGTTCAAAGCCTTGTTTACGCCCGTAACGAGCTGCCGCTAAAAATAATGTTTAACAAGTATAATTGGGGTGAAAGTATTTGTTCATGAATTAAATATGAATGACAGTTAGTTAATTAAAATTAATTGTAATAATTTGTACTCAAAGTTTTTGTAAACCTAAATTTCGGTAATAGACAATAAGCACAACATACATAATATATAATATATACATATATATATATTTGCCTTTGTGTCAAACCAACGCGTAATAATGGATTTGTCCCGCTTTGAAACCTTTGACAATTATATTTAAAATTATATATGTTCATAGTAACATTTCTATAGTCTCTTGATAATTCATTAATTCAAATCAATTAAATATTCGAATTATGCTTATAAAGTTGTAAATATGCAAAACTGATTTAAAATTTTTACGTAGCCTAGGTACATTAAATAGTATAGTCCTAGGTTTTATTGATAATCAATACTACCTGTGGAGTGCAAGGATGGCGAAGTGGGCGTGTCAAAAGAGGGGGTAATTTACAAGACACGCCCCGGAAAAGGAAGGGGGTTTCTGTTAGAGGATGCACAAAGTCCCCAGGTTATAAAATAAAACTGAGGTGTATTCCCGGGAATAATCGTTAATCAGCGAACTACACCCCGCTCGGAATTAAATCAAATACTATGACAAAGCTCCCAGAGTTTACAAGGTATATAAAGGGAATTTTTTTTTCCCTTTATATACCTAGAAGAACTATAGAAGTTTGGTCAAAGCATCAAGTCATTGTTTAGAAGCGCGGCAACCAAAATTAAAATAGCCATGATGATTGCCTACCTTCGCAAGGAGATGGCACTATAAGAAGAAGAAAGGGAAAATAAAATTCTTTGGCAGAGAGCTTTCCTAGCTTCTGTCTCTGTTGTTATGACAGTACATAGAAAATTAAAATTAAAAAGTATAAAATAGTCCCAACTTTAAAATATATCCCGAAAGCACTGTCGGATGTTCGAACTAATTACTAATGTGTCAGATTAGTACTTATACAGCTTAAATAAATGAGGCTACTTATGATTATCCAC